GGGCTTGAGTTAATTTTTGTGTATGGTATAAGTGTTCAGTTTCATTCTTTTACCCGTGACTGTCCAGTTTTCCCAACACTAGTTATTAAAGGCACTGTCTTTACCTCATCCTATACAATAAGAGAGGGATATGCTAATTAGTCACAACCAGTATGCAAATTGACCATCACTCCAACACACAAGATGGCCACCCCCATGTGGCCACAAGATGGCTGGCAGGGGAGGGCAGTTGGGGGCAACCAGGCCTGCAGGAGAGGGCCGTTGTGGGGGACCAGGACTGCAGGGGAGGGCAGTTGGGAGGGACTAGTCCTGCAGGGGAGGGCAGTTAGGGGCAACTGGGCTGGCAGGGGAGGACCATTGTTGGGGGGGACCAGGCCTGCAGGGGAGGGAAGTTGGGGGCAACCAGGCCAGCAGGGGAACAGGCGTCGATCAGGCTGGCAGGGGAGTGGTTAGGGGGTGATCAGGCTGGCAGGCAGAAGTGGTTAGGGGCAATCAGGTAGGTAGGCAGGCAGGTGAGCGGTTGGGAGCCAGCAGTCCTGGGTTGTGAGAGGGATCCCAGATTGGAGAGGGTGCAGGCTGGGCTGAGGGACACCCCCCACCAGTGCATGAATTTTGTGCACTGGGCCTCTAGTTGTATATATTCTTGCTTCCTTTGTCATAGATTAATTGGCCATATAAGCAAGAGTTTATTTCTGGACTCTATTCTATTCCTTTGATCTATGTGTATGTTGTTGTGCCAGTACCATACTATTTTTCTTTTTCTTTTTTTTTATTTTATTGATTTTTTACAGAGACGAAGGGAAAGGGATAGAGTTAGAAACATCGATGAGAGAGGAACATTGATCAGCTGCCTCCTGCACACTCCCTACTGGGGATGTGCCTGCAACCAAGGTACATGCCCTTGACCGGAATTGAACCTGCGATCCTTGAGTCCGCAGGCTGACGCTCTATCTACTGAGCCAAACTGGTTAGGGCACTATTTTGATTTTTATAGCTTTGTAGTATATAGTTTGAAATTAGGGAGTATGATACCACCAATTTTGTTGTTCTTCATCAAGATTGCTTTGGCTATTTGGAATCTTTTGTGGTTCCATATAAATTTTAGGATCATTCAAGTTCTGAGAAGAATGCTATTGGTGTTTTGATAGGAACTGCCCTGAATCTGTAGCATGCATTGGGTAGTATGGACATTTTAATTATAGTCTTCCAATCCATGAGCACAGTATATATTTTTTATTTGTGTGTTCTTCAATTTTTATTCAATGTCTTAATAATTTTCAGAGTATAGGTCTTTTACCTCTTTGGTTATTATTGTTGAAGCAATTGTAAATGGGATTGTTTTCTTAATTTCTCCATTTGATCATTATTAGTGTATAGAAACAATAAAATACAATGAATTTCTGTATATTAATTTTATATCCTGAAACTTCACTGGATTCATTTATTAGTTCTAATAGTTTTTTGGTGCTGTCTATAGTGTCCTTTCCAACTTGGATACCTTTTATTTTTTGTCTGATTGCTATGGCTAGGGCAACATGGTTATTTTACTAAATTGAATAACAGTGTGTTTGTGGGAGGGAGTGAGTTTAGTGTCCTTACATGCTAGCCATCTTGGACCTGCCTCCAAAAATCTGAGCACTTTTATTTAAAAAGTTTTAAATCCTCACCTGAGGATATGTGTGTGTGTGTGTTTTTTAAAAATTTATTTTTAGAGAAACATTGATCAGTTGCCTCTCATCATGTCCAGGAATCAAACTCCCACAACCTTTCGGTGTACAACAAACATTCCAAACTCCCGGCCTGCGGGCCACATACCTCATTTAATTTGGCCTGTGTTAGCCTTTGAGGTTGACATGCTTGGTGTTCAAGGTGACGGATGCTCCAACCAACTGAGCCACACTGGCTAGGGCTAAAAATCTGAGCACTTCTAAATGTCAAAGTGGCTTGTTGTCAAGGTGAATAAAGAATGATACCACTTCCCTTCCAAAATAAGCTATCGAAGCTCTCAAGTCATTCTTTCACTGGGGTAACAGTTAATTCCAAAATAAATTTTGAAGATAAAAGCAAGAAGTGGTCTCCCCATCCTGTAAAAGTCATTTGTTGTTAGGCAGACATTTCAAAGCCAAGAAACAATTTTCTCTGATGTCCCCGCCCAGGAAACCTTGTGGAATAAGAGCAGCTGACTTTAGACCAACCCTCTCAGCTCAGAATCCAAAGCTAGTCCCGTCTCCCAACTCCCTGCCTATCTGACTGCTGGATAAAAATGAACCCTAATGATCTTATCTGTTGTTTTTAATCTTTTTAATCTCTGGTGAACTGGTTATATACCTCATCCTAAAATTATTCTTAATTTTTTTTTTGGTTTTTATATGATTTGTGTGATTTATTTTTATAATTACTCTTTTTATTTTTGGGGAAATGAGCAGTTTTAAAAAAGGTCTTTGTAATGTAATTCCAAAAATAAGTAATAAGCAGAGAAGATGTAATAGCTCACCAGATCAAATACAGTCACTGCAAGAAAAGGAGAAAAAATGAGTTTTGTAAGATGGTCAGAGAAAGGAAATTTTGGGTTTTCTTATAATTTATTATTCTGACAGGGCAAAAGTAGGATATATGGTCACCGAGGTATACCGTACATTGTACGGTGATTCTCAAAGCTCTACAAAGCAATCAGGGAAATAGTAGAGCCTCATTTTACAGGTGGGGAACATGATATACAGAGATGTGAAGTCACTTGCCCAAAGCTGATTAGGGGTAAGGTGATTAGCAGCATGTTTTAGGGATAAAACATGGGTATAAATTTAGGTAACATTTATTTAGTACTTGCTATGTGTCAGGTTCTGGACTGTGTACATTATATGTATTATAGAATTCAATCTTTAGCACATCCTTATTTGTAAATACTATTATTAATAGGTTTCCCCCCTGATGAGGTAACATATTACAAGAGGTGAAATAATTTGTCCAATGTTATTGAATTAAAAAGTGGTAGAGCCCTAGCTGATTTGGCTCAGTGGCTAGAGCGTTGGCCTGAGAACTGAAGGGTCCTAAGTTCGATTCTGGTCAAGGGCATGTACCTTGGTTGCAGGCACATCTCTAGTGGGGGTGTGTGCAGGAGGCAGCTGATTGATGTTTCTCTCTCATCAATGTTTCTCTCTATCCTTCTCCCTTCCTCTCTGTAAAAAATCAATAAAAATATATTAAAAAAAAAACTTTTTTTTTTTTAAATAAAAAGTGGTAGAGCTGAGATTAGAACAGGTAGGGTCAAGAGTCCAGTCCACGTTTTTTAGTTTGCTTTTCAGCCTGTCATTTTGCTGCTGGCTGTGGGGAACTGCTAGTTGATAACCAAACGGAAGCAGTATTGTGGCTGAGATGGAAGCCTCACAGGTCAGATGACCTTGGTTTAATAACTGGTCACTTACCTACCATATGTCTTTGAGCAAGTCACTCGAAGTCTCAAATGAGTACACCCCAGCATGGGGTAAATGCCGAATAAATAATAATGAGCCATGGTAATTATTAATAGTTGTGAAAGTAGGCACAAGTGAATACACAAGACAGTTTAGATAAAGGTAAAAGAGGAAAATCATGTATTGAATAAATTTTCAGTTAGCCATGAAACAATTGAGAAAAACTCAAACTGATATTGCAAACTTTCAAATCATAAAGCAGAAACCCAGGGATAAAATGGAAAGTGGGGGCAATAGCTATTTTTCCCTTTCAGGCCCAGATGGAAGAATTCTGCAATGACCAGCTCACTGGGCCTTGCAATGGACCACTCATTAACACCGGTTCTTCAAAAATAGAGTGTCCAGTGACTTGGCATTCAGATTGCATCCAAAGCAAAGATAAATTCCTGAACCCAGGAACTATGTTTGCTTCTGGACCACTCACCTTGGATGCTCTTTGTATTGTTTCTTAATGGCAGCCAAGTGAATTTGCCTTCCTTCTCCTCCTTGTCATCTAAGGATCGGGGTCTAGGAAACATGGGTGATCATTCTGACCCTACTTCTCCTTCAGGTGGGCACCAAGGCCCATTTCTCTTTCCTGTATCATCTAGTGTTCCATCTCCTGGATCATTCCCACGATGTTATTTTTCCCTTAAAAAAGCCTCTCCTCACCCTAGCTGGTTTAGCTCAGTGGATAGAGCGTTGGCCTTCGGACTGAAGGGTTTCAGGTTGGATTCTGGTCAAGGGCCCAGCCTGGGTTGTGGGCTTGATCCCCAGTAGGGGGCTTTGCAGGAGGCAGCCGGTCACTGATTCTCTCTCATCATTGATGTTTCTGACTCTCCCTCCCCTCCCCTCCCCTCCCCTCCCCTCCCTCTCCCCTCCCCTCCCCTCCCCTCCTCCCCTCTCCCCTCCCCTCCCCCCTCCCCTCCCCCCCCCCCCTCCCCTCCCCCTCCCCCCTCCCCTCCCCCTCCCCCCTCCCCTCCCCTCCCCTCCCCTCCCCTCTCCCCTCCCCTCCCCTCCCCTCCCTCCTCCCCTCCCCTCCCCTCCCCTCCCCTCCCCTCCCCCCCCCCCTCCCCTCCCCTCCCCTCCCCTCCCTTCCCCTCTCCTCTCCTCTCCTCTCCTCCCCTCTCCTCTCCTCTCCTCTCCTCTCTGAAATCAATAAAGATATATTTAAAGAAAGCCTCTCTCTATTGGAAAAAGCTAGACACAGGTAAGTTATTAAATCATATTAAGGCACTATTGTTAATACTGCTAGAGGGATCACAATCTTTGTTGTCATCTATAAATAATACATTCTAAAATTATCAGAGGTGAAGTCATGATTTTTTAACATATTCCACTAAAAAAGGATGTGGTTATAGATGAAACAAGATTATCAAAGTGTTTATAGTTGTTGGAACTGGCTAACAAGTACATGTGGGTTCACTTACACTCAATGCCACTTCCTCTCCAGCTATTATGTTTTCCTTCTTTTTATGGCAATATTCCTTGAAATATATTTTGACATGCTGACTGATTTTCCCCATTCTTTCTTGAACCCACTTCATTCAGGTTTGCCCTCTTATCATTCCAGCAAAATTGCTTTTCTTAAGATCATCAATGACCTCCATATTGTTAAATCCAATGATCATGTTCATCTTACCTGACCCATCAGCAAGATTCAACAGTTGATCACTCCCCTTCCTCCTTGAAACACTTTCCCCACCTGACTTCCAGAACTGCAGCCATCAATAGTACTGATATTCTTCTTACCTCATTAACTCCACTGAGTAAGTATTACTTCTGAAACCTAGACCACAGGTTTGATTCCCGTCTGGTACTGGTTTTGTACAAAGAAAGGATGTGTTCCAAGGAAGACTACAAATGTTGGCATTTGTAGGGTGAAGCTGAGAGTGATGTTAGTAACATGAGTTGTTTTTTCTTTCTCTCTCCTTGACTTACAACTAAAGGCATAGCTGAACAAAGTGTACCTGCACAGCACACCAACACACCCAAGAGATCCATCCATTTGTGATCTGAAAGTGAGTGGATTGGACCTTAGAGGTGGTCATGGAACCAAGGGAGTTGTGGTGGCAGCAATGTCAGTGGTGCCTTTGTAGCAGAGAAGGAGGAAAGTGACAGGCATGAATGAAAGTCTGCCAAGATGCATGGGGTACAACTGGAGGGTCCCACCGTTCCTCAGTAACATGCATATTCCTTAGACCTCTGTGAGTGGGGGAAAGGGAAAGAAAGGGACGGAAAGGGAGACAGGCAGATAAAGACAACTAAAGGAACTGTCTGCCCTAGGAGTCCAGTAAGAGGTCTGCCCCATGGACTGCTGTGACTCCTCCACTTGAAGATCCCTCTACCAGGCCATGAGTACACCCAAAGCACACCCTCATTCTGCCAGCTCCCCCTTATTTTTTAAAAGTATGTTTTTATTGATTTCAGAGAGAGGAAGGGAGAGAGATAGAAACATCAACGATGAGAAAGGATCATCGATCGGCTGCATCCTGCATGCTCCTTGACCAGGAACTGAACCATGTCCTCCTGGTTCATGGGTTGACACTCAACCCCTGACCCAAACCGGCAAGGCCCCCCTTTATTTTTTACACCAGCTTTTTAATGTGTGGTCCTAACTTTGGCAGCTGGTTAGCTACAGTAAGAGAAACCAAAAGGCTTCTTAATGCCAATCAGTTGAACTGTTAGAATCAAAGTAAACAAAGTCTTACCTAAATATGAAAGTTGTTTGCTACTTCAAATGTGGCAGCAGAGGCACATTTCATAAAATACTATGAAAAATCATGGTAACATGGTATCACACAAAGAAAGTGACGATTTTCCAGTAATTGAACCCAAAAAACATGGAATACTGAATACCGATAAAGAATTCAAAATAGCTCCCATGAAGAAATTCAATACATTACAAGAAAACTGAGAAAGACACTTCAATAAACTCAAGAATAAAATGAATGAACAGAAGGGTACTTTAACAGATTGAAATGCCCAAAAAAGAACTAAACAGAAATACTGGAGCCAAAGAATTCAGTAAGTGAGAAACAATGCATTAGAGAGCACTGAAAATGCAGATCAGATGGAAGGCAGAATTAGCAAGCTGGATGATCAGACTTTAGAAATGATTCAGGTAGAAGAGGAGAGAGAAACACTACGGAATTATAAGGCTCCATCAGAAAAGCCAACATAAGATTAATTGGTGTACAAAAAGGATAAGAGACAGAAGGGGGCAGAGGCTTTAAGAAATAATATCTGAGAACTTCCAAAACCTGGGGAAGAGACTGGATATGAAAATCCATGTGAAGCTAATAGAACATATTATCTCAATACAAAAAACCTTTACCCAGACACATTATAATGAAACTGTAAAATGTCAATGATTAAAACATGGTTATTACCGGGAGGGGGGATGAATATCTCCCATTAGACTATCAGCAGATTTCTCAGCAGAAACTCTACAGGCCAGAAAAAAGTAGAATGACATGTTAAAAGATAAAAATTTTCAGCCAAGAATACTTCACCTAGCAAAGTTATCTTTCAGATATAAAAGAAAAATAAAGGCTCTCTCAGACAAGAAGTGGGGAGTTCACCACCACTAGATCTGCCTTACAAAAAATGTTGAAAGAAACTCTTCCAGTTGAATGAAAAGGTGAAATTCCATAAAACTCTAAGGTGACCGTCAGAATTAGAGAGCTAATTCAATTTTGGAATAATATATAATAATAAAAGGGGATGGAATCTATATAGGCAAATGAGGATAAATTGGTATAAGAAAAAGGACTGAAGTATTTTTATCTATGAGATGTTCTATGTCAACTTCATGGTGACCACAAAGCAAAAATCTAGAGCAGAGACATGAAACATTAAAAAAAAAGGAGACAAAGATAACCACCATGGATTTTTCCAAATTACAAAGATAGACACAAATAGAAGGGAAAGAAACAATGGAGAAACAACCAGAAGGCAAAAGAAAATGCCAGTAGTGAGTCCTTACATATCAGGTATCAGCTTAAGAGTAAATGGATTGAACTCACCAATCAAAAGGTATGAAGTGGCTGAATAGATTAAAAAACAAAACAGCCCTGACCGGTTTGGCTCAGTGGATAGAGCATCGGCCTGCGAACCAAAGGGTCCCAGGTTCAATTCTGGTCAAGGGCATGTACCTTGGTTGCGGGCACATCCCCAGTAGGGGGTGTGCAGGAGGCAGCTGATGGATGTTTCTCTCTCACTGTTTCTAACTCTATTCCTCTCCCTTCCTCTCTGTAAAAAATCAATAAAATATATATTAAAAAAAATAAAAAATAAAAAATAAAAAACAAAACAAAACTTTTTGTTGTGTACAGCAGACTCATTTCAGCTCTAAAGACATACCCAGGCTCAAAGGGAAGGGATAGAAGATGATATTCTAAACAACTGGAAACCAAAAGAAAGTGGGCGTAGCCATACTTATCAGACAAAATAGAGTTTAGCCAAAAATGGTAAGAAGAGACTAAGAAAGTCATATAATGATAAAGGGGTCAATATATCAGTAAGATACAACAATCGTAAATATATACAATTCCAACAGATGATCATTGAAATATAGTAAGCAAATATTAACAAATAAACAATTATTATATTGCTTATTTCTACTTCAATAATATTGAAAGAGACTTCAATACCCCACTACCAGCAATGGATTGATCATCCAGACAGAAAATCAACAAAACCCCACTGGAATGGAACCATACTTTAGAACAAATGAACTTAGACATATACAGGACATTCTCCAGGATAGATAATATGATAGCAAATTTAGCAAATTTAAGAAGATTAAAATCATATCAGCTATCATTTCTGACCACAATGGTATGGAACTAGAAAGCAACAACAAGAGGAAAACAAGATCTACAAATATGTGGAAACTAAACAACACACTTCTAAATAACCACTGTGTTAAGGAAGAAATCAAAAGGGAAATAAAAATTATCTTGAAAATGGAAATACAACCTATCAAGTCTTGTGAAATGCAGCAAAGCAGTTCTGACAGGAAAGTTTATAGCAATAAGTATATTTCAAGAAATTAGAAAGTTCTCAAATGACCAAACTTTATACCTCAAGGAACTAGGAAAAGAACAAATAAAACCCAGCTTCCAGCCCTGGCCGGTTTGGCCCAGTGGATAGAGCGTCAGCCTGCGGACTCAAGGGTCTCAGGTTTGATTCTGGTCAAGGGCATGTACCTTGGTTGTGGGCACATATCCAGTGGGGAGTGTGCAGGAGGCAGCTGATCGATGTTTCTCTCTCATCGATGTTTCTAACTCTCTATCCCTTTCCCTTCCTCTCTGTAAAAAAATCAATAAAATATATTTTTTTAAAAAATAAAACCCAGCTTCCAGTCAAGATAAATGTGGCAGAGGTAAATGTGATACTCGAAACCTCTCTCAACTAGATCAAAATTACAGCTAAGCTACAGGACAACCATCATTTAAAATCACCTGAACTCTAGCCAAACAGAAGTCCTGTAAGGAAGAACATAAAGAAGAAACCACATCAGACTGATAGGAAGGGCGGAGATGTGGAAGGGGCTAGTGCCACAGCCACATGTGGTAGATAAAAATTGGGAGTTGTGTCTTGGTTGAGGAGGTGTTCCCTGAGGAGTGAGGGGTCCCAGCCCAAAGGGATTCACACTAAGTATGCAAAGTGATGAAAAGGAAGGACCTACAACAAAATTACCCAGCAAAGCTATAATTTAGACTTGAAGGACAGATAGCATCTCAGACAAGGAAAAGCTGAAGGAGTTCATCACCATCAAACCAGTATTACAGAAATGTTATAAAACTGAAATTCAGACACAGACAACTGTATGGTGGTTGCCAGAGCGAAGAGCGGTGGGGTAGTAGTCAAGAGGACCAAATATATGGTCCTGAAGATGACTTTGGGTGGTGGGCACACAATGCAGTATACAGATCACGTATCAGAAATGTACACTTGAAACCCATACAATCTTATTAACCAATGTCACCCCAATAAAAATAATAAAATAAAAATATTTGAAAGAAATGTTAAAAGGTCATGTTGAAGATGAAGCACAAAATCAAAATATGAATAATAAAATGAAAATAAATACATATCTGTCATCCATAGGTTTATTGCAGCATTATTTACAATAGCCAAGATATAGAAGCAATCTAAGTGTCCATCAATAGGTGAGTGGGTAAAGAAGTGGTGCATAGTCCTGCCGGCATGGCTCAGTGGTTGAGTGTCGATCTATGAACAGGAGGTCATGGTTCAGTTCCCCGTCAGGGCACATGCCTGGGTTTTGGACTCGATCCCAAGTGTGGGGCGTGCAGGAGGCAGCCAATCAATGATTCTCTCTCATCACTGATGTTTCTATCTCTCTCTCCCTTTTCCTTCCTCTCTGAAATCAATAAAAATATATTTAAAAAAAGAAGTGGTGCATATATGCAATGGACAATGACTCAGCCCTAAAAAAAGAATGAAATCTTGCCACCTGCAACAACATGGACGAACTTAGAAGGCATTGTGCTGAGTGAAATAAGTCAGACAGAGGACAAATGCCATATGATTTCGCTTAAATGAGGAAATATAAAAAACAAAAACGAGCCCTGGCTGGTGTGGCTTAATTGATTGAGCATCGTCCCATGCATGGAGAGGTGGTGGGTTCAATTCCTAGTCAGGGCACATGCCCAGGTTGCAGGCTCAATCTCTGGTAGGGAGCATGCAGGAGGCAGCCCATCAGTGTTTTTGTTTTTTTCCTCTCTAAAATAAATAAAAACTTTTAAAAATTAAAATACAACAAAACCAATTAATTGATAGAGAATATTCTGATGGTTGTCAGATGGGAGAAGGGTTGGGGGGTTGTGTGAAAAAGTGAAGAGATTAAGAAGTACAAGTTGTTAGTTATAGAATAGTAAGGGGGATGTAAAGAACATCATAGGGAACATAATCAGTAATATTATAATAACTATGGTATCAGATGTGTACTACATATATTGGGGTGATCACTTCATAAGTTATATAAATGTCTAATCACTGGGTTATACATCTGGAACTAATAATTGTACATAAACTGTAATTGAAAAATAAAAAAAGAACAAAAAGAACAAAGTTAGCAGAAAGAAGGAAATAAAGATCAGAACAGAAATAAGTGAAAGAGACCAGAAAAACAATGGACAGCATCAACAAAAGTAAGAGCTACTTCTATCAAAGATAAAATGGACAAACCTGTAGCTGAGCTAAGAAAAAAAAAAGAGAAGACTCAAATAAAATTAAAAGAGAAGGCATTACAACTGAAAGTACAGAAAGTCACAGGATCATAAGAGACTATTATGAACTATTATATTCCAACAAATTACATAACCAAGAAGAAATAACACATTTCTAGAAATACACAACCTACCAAGACTGAATCAAGAAGAAATAGAAAATCTGAGCAGACTAATAACTAGTAATGAGACTGAATCAGTAATAATAATAATAATAATAATAATAACCCCCAGGACTAGAAGGCTTTTACTAGTGTATTCTTCCAAACATTCAAAGAAGAATTAATCTTTTTCAAACTCTTCCAAAATATCAAGGAGGAGGAACACTTTCAAACTCATTCTGCAAACCCAACATTACCTTAATACCAAAACAAAATAAGGATACCACACAAAAAAGAAACCTATAGACAAATTACCCTGATGAATATAGATATAAAAATTCTGAACAAAATATTAGCAAACCAAATTTAAGAACACATTAAAAGGATTATACAAAATGACAAAATGGGATTTATCCCTGGGATGCAAGGATGGTTCAACATATGCAACTCAATTAATGTGATGCTTTAGATCAATAAAATGAAAGATAAAAATCACATGATTATCTCAATAGATGTAGAGAAAGCATCTGACAAATACAACATCCTTTCATGATTAAATAAAACAATCTTTAACATATTGGGTATAGAAGGAACATATCTCAACATAATAAAGGCCATATGCAACAAACCCACAGCTAACATTTTACCCAATGGAGAAAAATTGAAGACTTTTCCCTTTAGATCAGAAACAAGGACGCCTACTCTCACCATCCCTATTCAATATAGTACTGGAAGTCCTAGCTAAAACATCTAGGTAAGAAAAAGAAAAGTCATCTACATTGGAAAAGAAAAAGTCAAATTTTTACTTGCTGAAGACTGAGACAGCAGAAACCAAAGCATCCTCCTTCACGTTCTCACTTCACTTTTATTTTACAAAGTGCTTTAGAAATTAGGTTCCTACCACCTGCATGGAGTGTAAAGACAAAAGCAAGCCCTGCGAAACCAAAGGCCCGTGGAGTCCACTCCCAGGGCCAGAGCATGGCCCCAGGCTAACACACCTGCCACATGCTGAGCACCTAGACAGGCAGTATTCAGGGGCACACACACAAGTTCGGGGGTCACGTACCAATGTCATTTATTTCTGAAAGAACCACTTCCAACCCTCACTCTTGACTCTGTTTGATAGGCCAAAGGACGTTACGTTTATTCGGTGTCAGTTTTCTGAAATCCTTACATCTGCACCTTGGTTGCTAAAGTAAACTGCCATTTTTAGTACAACATTGTCAAACAGAGCTGTTGTAAATCTCCTGAGCTTGATTATTGCCTAACTAACAAATGCTTGATTATGCTTCCTAATTCTTTTGGTTGGAAGAAGGTTGTTCATTTTATTTGACCAGCCATACTGCATGTAGCGGTAAACATCTGTTTTGGACTATCTGCCCAGAAACCGAATAAACTGCCAGTTGAGACCCTGATTTTATTTTGGTCATTATGTGCACATTTTCGTATGCAATTACCCAGCCTGCTGACAAACTGGTAATAAGAAACCTAACTACTTTGCCATGCCGGGTGCTGGGAAGCAATCTTAACTACATATTTACAGATGTAGGTTTTTAAAAAATAAGCCACTTTTCTAGGATGTTCCATGTTTTACTAATCATTCAAGTGTTGTATGAATCATTTTGCCTTATTTATTAGGAAAATACATTTTAAAATCTGATTCCTTTGACAAATACGTTTTTGTTGGTAATATCCAGCTATTACCAACTTCTAGAATTTTAAAATTAATTCTTCAAATATCTTTATTTAGATCTTATCCTCTCAAACTTTTTTAATGATAAAATGGTAAAATTGGGTTCCTCAAACGTAAAAATCCTAATAGAAGTCTCTATTTCCAAAACTAATAAATAAATAAATAAATAAATAAATAAATAAAAAAGATAGCTAACACTGTGGGGTGAAAGCTTTCCTGAGTTTCCCCTCTCCTCCAAACATTGAGAAACCAGAAAGAAATAAAAATCTGGGATCCTATTAAACAGACTTTAAAAATAAAATTTTATGGAAGTGTTTTTTTTTAAAACGAGTTTCAAAAGAACAAAGTACTTGAATAAGATAAACTAGTGCCCAAAGGGGACAACTACCCCGCCCCCCCCCCAAGCTTTTTGCTGAGTTGGCAACAATAATTCAAAGAAATTGAGCTAAAGAGAGTTTGATCTTTATATAATTAATATGAAACTTAATACGATAAAATGCCTATGACAAAATTTAAGTCTCCCCGCCTTTTGGCAATGAAATAAGTGAAATTAACACAAGGATATTTTGGACAGGTTTAGGGTCACATTCAGAATTAAGCAGAACACTTTCAAATCTAGAAAGCAAATGGGAGCTCTCATTAGCTGCTGGGGTCTACCGTGCCCACACAGAAGCAGCGTGGAGAATGGCTCTCCCAACAGGCGCTTCATTTCAAAACTAATGCAAGCAATTTCTCAGGAGAAGCCCACGCCCATTAGGCTTTCTTCTCAGTCCTGCTCCTTGTGTCATGCTTCCGTTTAGCAAAGACTACACTTTGCAACTCCCCCTAAGAGGAGAGATGCAAGAAATGGAGTGATGAAAGTAAGCCTGCCGAACTCAAAGGGCCCTAGGAGCCTTTGCTCTGGCTGGTCATGGCCACTTATGTTTTAATACAGAAGATTTAAAGACTTTGGGGGAAAAAAGACCATCTTGGCTATTAGTTTCCTCATCAAAAGCCATCCATCAGATAGACAGCTATTAACCAAGCAATTAGCCCAAAGTCCTCAGGTAACAATGAGCACAAAACTAAATAAATTAGCCTGGCCGGTGTGGTTCAGTGGTTGAGCATCGACCCTGGAACCCGGAGATTGCCATTCGATTCCCGGTCACAGCACATGCTTGGGTACTGGGCACTGGGCTCGATCCCTATAGTGGATATGCGGGAGGCAGCCAATTGATGATTCTCACTCATCGTTGAGGTTTCTCTCTCCCGTCCTCGCTCTAAAATCAATAGAAACATATTTTAAAAAAACAAACAAAAAAACCCCCAAACCCTTAACTTTTCCTATTAAAACCTTTTATTCTGAATTTGTTGGTGCTTAAGGGAAACAGCTTTGCCATAATTCACTGTGGCCTGAATTTACACCAATTTGTATTTGGCCAATTGGGAATGAGGCCAAACTACGTTCTTCTTTGAAGATCTAGTCAATTGGTAAGTGGAACTTAGTTGATTATTTCTTTCATATAACCTTTAACAGGAATTCATAAGTTGCATTGATTATGCCCCAAGAGATGAGGGACCGGTGGTAATTTAGATGGACACCTCTGAAAAGATTTATCAGTTTCCTGTCTCGTTCTAACCAGATTATTTTGAAAACCTGGGGAAAAGACTGAAATTCCCCACCAATTTGAGACTGCATGCGAGCTTTTACAACATTAACGGGAAAAGATAAGATTCCCAACATGGCACCCAATAGACCTCCACAGATAAAATCATTGACCAAATGCTCGCTGTAAGTTGTCGCGGTAGGCAGGTGCTCCTTAATGGGACCCCGAAGGCCAAAAAACAGGACATTGCTGAACCCATTACGGAAAAGAACAGGCATGAAGCCTCGATAATACTCTCCAATTCCATGGCATTTCAGTGCCTTGAACGCCTGGTAAGTGTTTGTAAATTTATCATGATGTCTGTGGTCTTGAAGCAGTGTCTGAACTCTTTCCAACGGAGTGAAAATTGCTTCTGTTGCCCCTGCCAGTAATGCTGCCATGCTACTGGTTGCAACATCTGGGGAATGGATATGCTTGCGGAGAAAGTAAGATATATCCCCATACAGACCAAACATAAGTGCCAGTGAAGTTGTCTTCTGCATCAATGGGGGAAGACTTCCACGATACAAGTTTCGAAATCCATCCCTCCTCAGCTGAAGCACCGCAGCCTTGATTTTGATTCCATACAGCTGTTGCCGAAAGAGCACCTTCTGAATGGGAAATGTGATCGCTACAGTGCTGAAAGCTGCGCCGCAGCCACACAAATAATGTTTTATTCCACCAACATCTGTAATATGAGGTGATATATCTTGGTTTGAAGATGTTATGATTGGCGACCTCTTTTTATGAGCTTCTGAATCCATCATGTGGCTTAAGATCTATCTTCTTCTTGCAGGATTTTTAAAACCTGTAACACCATCTGGGCCTGGTGTTTTGAGGAAGGGTGGCTTTTTGGTAATGTTCTCAAATGCTTCCATTGTTAATGGATGTTAGGTTCTCTTTTCTGAAACCAGTTTTGATAACTGGATTTCCCATCGCCGTGGGTGCCTGGCTCCACGCCTCGTAGCCACCGGATCAGCAAGTGAGCCTGAAGATATGATTTTATATAGAGAAAATCCAAGAGAGTCAGTGAAAAAAACTGTTGAATCCAATCAACGATTTCAGTAAAGTTGCAGGATACAAAATCAACATATAGAAATCAGCCGCATTCCTTTATACTAATCTGAAAAAGAAATAAAAAACTATCCCATTCACAATAGTAACAGAAACAATGAAACACTTAAATTTTTTCCTAAGTGAAAAATCTAAACAATGAAAACTACAAAACTTTGATGAAAGAAATCAAAGAAGACACAAACGAATGCAGAGAGAGTCTGTGTTTATGAATTGTTAGAATTAATATTGTTAAAATGTTTATACTATCCAAAGCCATGATTCAACACAATCTGCATCAAAATACTAAAGACATTCTTCACAGAAATAGAAACGATCTTAAAATTTGTGTGGAACCACTAGAGACCACATAATCAAAGCAATCCTGAAAAAAAAAAAAAAACCCACCACAAAACAAAGCCAGAGGTATCATATTTTCTGATTTCAAACTATACTAGAAAACCATAGTAATAAAAACAGTATGGTATTGGCACAAAAATAGACCCACAGGCTGATGAAACTAAATAGCCCGGAATTAAATCCTGGCATATACAGTTAACGAATATTTGACAAAGAAGCCAAGGAACACCCAATGAGAAAAGGATAGTTTCTTCAACAAATAGTGCTGAGAACACTAGAGAAACACATGCAGAATAATAAAATTGGATCCCTATATCACACCACTCACAAACTTTAACGTAAAATGGATCAAAGACTTAAACGTGAGGCTTAATCCCACAAAACTCCAAGAATAAAATGTAGGGGAAACATTGGTCTTGGCAATGATTTTTTGGACATGGCACTAAAAGCACAAACAACAAAAGCAAAAATCAACAAATGGGGCAATAAACTCAAAAGTTTCTGTACTGCCAAAACCAGTTTGGCTCAGTGGATAGAGCGTTGGCTTGCGGACTGAAAGGTCCCAGGTTCGATTCCGGTCAAGGGCATGTACCTGGGTTGCGGGCGCATCCCCAGTGGGAGATGTGCAGGAGGCAGCTGATCGATGTTTCTAGCTCTCTATCCCTCTCCCTTCCTCTCTGTAAAAAATCAATAAAATATATTAAAAAAAAAAAAGTTTCTGCACAGCCAAAGACACAATTAACACAATGAAAAGGCAACCGACAGAACAGGAGAAGATATTTGCAAACCATATACCAGATAAGGGGTTAACATGCAACATATATAAAGAGCTCATACAACTGAATAACAAAAACCAAACAAATTCAATTTAAAAATGTATAGAAACTAAATAGACATTTTTCCAAAGAGGACATCAAAATGGCAAAAAGGCACATGAAATGATACTCAGCATCACTAATCATCAGGGAAAAGCAAAACCACAATGAGAGAGCTACCTCATACCGGTTAGAATGGCTTTCATCCAGAAGACAAGAAACAGAAGGTGCTGGTGACGATGTGGTGAAAAGGGAACCCTTGTATACTGTTGGTGGGAATGTAAATTGGTCTAGCCACTATGAAAAAAATATGGAGGTTCCTAAACAAATTAAAAGTACACCTACCGTTAGAAAAAAGAAAAAGCACAAAAAGTAGACCTACCATTACAATCCAGCAATTCTACTTCTGGGTATATATCCAAAAGAAATGAAAACAAGATTTTTAAGAGATATATGCACTTCCAACTTTATTGCAGCATTATTCACAATAGCCAAGATATGGAAACAACCTAAATGCTCATCAATGGATGTATGGATAAAAATGATCTGGTACATATATACACACTGGGATATTATTTAGCCATGAGAACGGAAGATGTCCTGTTATTTACAATATAGATGGACCTTGAGCACATTATTCTAAATGAGATAAAGCAGACAGGGAAAGACAAGTACTGTATGATATCACTTATATGTGGGATCTAAAAAAGTCAAACTTATAAAAAAACAGAGTATAATGGTTACCCAGGAATGGGTGTTGGGAAGATAAGATCAATGTTTAAGAGTACAAAACTTACAATGAGTGTGAATAAGCCATAGAGATCAGTATAGCATAGTATCACAACACATTATAAATATAGATAATATAATACAATTATATAATATGAGAAATATTGGTACAGTGGCAAGCATATTACAATATATAAATATACTAAAGAAAAAAAAGTGAGGATGGGTCATGACCATTAGCAAGACAGCTCAGCAGCCATGGCCAGCTAGTGATAGGTGAGCAAATCAATGAGAAAAGATGCCCCCGCGATCATCTGCCCAGGCAGGGATCCACAACAGCCCCGCACAGAGCTACTTGCCTGGAGATGGAATGGAGAGTATCTCATTCACATCAGTGTTCAAATTAGCTCCATAGTCCCTTCCTCTGTCTCACTCCAGACACTGTGTGAAGCACAGGAATACAACTGGATGAAGTAGGACACAGTCCCTGCTATTAAAGAAATGCTGGTTCAGATGGGTACAGACACGTCAAGTGACACAGTCTGAGGCATGATTGTGAACACAGGGTAGGTGTTGTAAAGGAGAGGATTCTCCCAAGGGGGCTTCTAGAAGAAGAAACGCTCGAGCCAAGTTTTGAATAGCAATAAGATTCAACTGTGTAAAGAATATAACAGGTAGTCCTGGATCTGATATGCCAAGGTTGCAGGTTTGATCTCCCATCAGGGCACGTAAAGAATCAACCAATGAATGCATAAGTAAGTGGAACAATAAATTGATGTTTCTCTCTCTTCCTCTCCTTCTCTCTCTTTCTCAAATCAACTTTAAGAATGCAATAGACAGAAGAGCAGATGAGAACCCACAGAACAAAACCTGAAACTGGAAAGTGGTAATCACTTCCATAAAGAAGAAACTCAGTGTGTGTGTGTGGGGGGGGGGGGGGTGAGTGGAGGTGGGGAAAGGCCGTGTGTGTGGTGGGTGGCTTGTACATAGCAGGATTTAAGGTCAGAGAGTTGAGCAAGATGTCAATGCCACATAGACGCTTATGGGTTAATTTAAGCAATCTGAACTGTATTGAAAGCTGAGGGCACCATTATAGGACTTAATACTGGGAATTTGACACTAATAGGTTGGCTTTTAAGTAAGCTTTCTGGTTTCAACATGGAAGACTGTTTGGAGGAAAGAGTTGCTTGGGTCCCACTGCAAAGCAGATCAGGGATTGACAGTTGTTAAAGACAGAATTGTGTCTCCCTCCCCATTCATATGTTAAAGTCCTATCCCCCAATGGGACTGTATTTGGAAACATGGCCTTCAAAGAGGTAGTTAAGGTTAGATGAGGTCATAAGGGTAGGGCTCTAATCCAATAGGACTGGTGTCCTCATAAGAAAAAGTACGAGGGATGTGTGATATGAGGGTTGGCCATCTGAGTGCAAACCAAGGAAAGAGGCTCAGGAGAAACCATTGCTGCTGATACCTGGATCTTAGAGAACTGTGAGAAATAAATATCTGTTGTTTAAGCCACACCATGTATGGTATTTTGTTATGGCAAAACATCATCGAGACATTAAGGCAGAAGGTGGAGGCAGACAGAATGACAAGTCTGTGAAGGATCTGGCCATCCTGCTCTGTGAGACTGCACTCCTGTCCTCTGACTTCAGTCTGGAAGACCCCCAGACACACACTAACAGGATCTACAGGATGATCAAACTTGGTCTTGGTATCGATGAAGAGGACCCCACTGCTAACGAGAGCAGTGCTGCTGTGACCGAAGAGATGCTGCCCCTGGAAGGAGACACCACCTCACGCATGGAGGAAATGGACTAAGGCACCTGCACACGTGTTTAATACTTTACCTTCATTCCCTTGGATAATATATCTTCAAGGAATTTTTTTATTTTTGTTAACATTTTAAAAATATGTATGGCATATTTTCTTTCCCCCTCTACGTGTATGATACTGTGATACTTCAGGAACTCTAGCTGAGCTCGTTTTTCTTTCCTACTTCTATGTTGTCCTGTTTTAACAGAATCTATAATAATAAAAGCATAATATGCTAATTAGACTGGACAGCTGGACAGCCTTCTGGACGTCATTCTGGATGTCCTTCTGGATGAAGCCACTGTGGCAGGGGCTGAGGCAGAGGTGGTTAGGGGTAATTAGGCAGGCAGGTAGAGTAGTTAGGGGCAATAAGGCAGGCAAGTGGTTAGGGTGATGAGGCAGGCAGGCAGAGTGGTTAGGGGCAATCAGGCAGGCAGGCAGGTGAGTGGTTAGGAGCTAGTGGTCCCAGATTGTGAGAGGAATGTCCAACTGCCGTTTTAGGCCTGATCCCGCAGTGAGATCAGGCCTAAACCAGCAGTCGGACATCCTCTGAGGGGTCCCAGATTACGAGAGGGTGCAGGCCAAGCTGAGGGACCTGCCCCCCTGTGCACGAATTTTGTGCACCGGGCCTCTAGTGGGGTTATGTTTGTTGTAAGATACATGTAGCCTAATGTTTGTTAGCTTTGTGGTCTGAAGTGTTTATCTCTCAGCAGATTCCTAAGTAGACTGAATCTTTTGTTGCTCAAGTATTCTGAGATGCATGGTTAAAACAACCTTCATCCCCTAAGATCTACTTTTTAAGCCTAACATCCCCTGAAGTAATCAACTGCATGTACGGCCTCTAGAAGTTAGTATGCTAAGCTGACCAACATGATGGTAGTAACTATCATAGGGTTTGTCTCCAAAGAAAGAGATTGTTTGGCATAGCAGAAATACAAGCTACCTAGGCATGTTGTAAAGCTGTTTGAAAGTAGCTCAGAGCAAGTTTTGTGAATAGAAGTGTAGTGCTCTAGTCACATTATGCTTTAAAAAACTGTGGCAAATACAAACAAATTAAAAAGAAAAAAAATCAGTTTACGAAGAAAAGGAAATTTGAGTCCCAAGTAGCTTAAGGTACAGCCACATACCTGAACTGTTTCTCCACAGTCCGTCCCACCCCAAATCTCTGACCTCTGTGCTTCAGGGAGGTCTTCTCTTCCAGGCAGGTTCTCTGTGCAGGGGAGATACCCCAGAAGAGCAAGGCTCTCACCTGACAGTGTCTACAGCAATCCTGGAAATGGGTCCTGTTAACTTCACTTAGGGATGGGCTCTGTTAGGCCAGGTCCGGGTCATGTTCCTGACCTTGGGAAGGGGGGGGGGCAAAGTGCGGAGAAGTCAACTCCACCAGAGCCAGATGGTTTAAGAACAAAGGAGGAGGAGTTTCCCATAGGAAAAGGGAGGTGTCAGGGGAAAGGGCTTCTGGGAAGGCAAAACAGCCTCTCCAGATTCCATTCCCAATAGCAACAGAACCCAAAGAGTTGGAATACCCTCAACAATAACATAGGACCTAGATGATGAAAACCATAAGAGAACTAAATAAATGAAACAGCAGTTTGTGTTCTTAGAAGATAAGATATTGTAAAGATACTGCTTATTTCCAAATTGATGTATAATCCAACCCCATCCTAATAAAAATCCTAAAGTAATTTTTATTTAATGGATTCTTTATAAACTGGTTTTTAAAATTTACTTTAAACAATTCACAAAAATAGCCAAGAATTTTTTAAAAAAAGAACAGTGGGGGAGGAGATGAGACTTATACCACTATAAATATACTATAAACATACTATAAACATATAGTAATTGAGACAAAGTGCTATTGGTAGAGGGAAAGGTAAGCCAACTAACTAGAGCATACAGTCAAATCAGTAGGGGAAAAATAGGTCTTCTATAAACAATGCTGAAATACCTACCCTGATTCTTCTTTCAGAAGAAGTTAAGTCCCACTTCACACTACACTAAAAGAATTCCAGAATGGATTGGTGACCAAGGACATAGAATACTTTCTTTATAATCTTGGGGCAAGGATGACATTCCTAAAGACCTGAACTCCAAAAGCCATAAAGGCAAAAACTTAGGATGAATTAACACCAGCAAGTATGTAAGGAGAGAAGCATTCCCTACCCTTGTGAAGTTTGGATTGGCAGATCCTATTTTGAATAATAATTTTGAAGTAGCCAGATTTTACTACATATAAACTGTGACTCAGAATCTCAGGCATTTCTAGGTATCCCTCCTACAACTCTTTCCAGGGCTTGCACAGCCTGTAATCATGCATGGGTGCAAGGCTATGTACAAAAAAATTCTATGCAACCTTGTTTTCAATAGCCTGTAAGAGGAGAAACACCCTAAAATACACAGCAATGAAAGATGAAGTCAGTTTATCATGTCACAATGCAGAATGCGCTGTGACAGGACAGCCAGGCAGAGCCAAATGTGCTGAAGAGAAAGGGCCCCTAAGATGAGTCAAAAGAGCAGGTGCAGATGTTTCATAACATGCCAAGCGTAATAATGACCTGGAAGGCCTGGAGAGAGACACATTTTTGAAACCAAATTATTAGTTTCAGTAAATTGTGTCAATATAATTTTAAGCAAATGCCAAATGGAAGACTGAGCCCAGGAATTCACAAAGGAAAAATCTTCCGGAAAACAAGGAACACCAAGGAGATCTGTGACGCCAGCCTCACTGTCAGTGTCATTGATGGTGCCAGGCAGCCAGAGTTACCCGGATTACTGAGTGTTCACCACATTGTTTGCTGATGCTTCGGATGGTTTCAGTTGCTAGATTCAGTTCACTGACTGAAACCAACAAAGGCTAGACAACCAGTTCCTTGAAAGTTGGAAATACCACCCTTTGGGACATTAGTGCCTGTAGTGATTTTCTCTTTGGGTATCCTGGTTTCTTAATACTGTTACTGAAGAAACGGGATTCAGGTCGTCAGTGCCAGTTAGTGTAGACGGGATGACCTCCATAACACCTGCAAAGGACACCAATGCAGTAGGATTCCATACCACTCAATGTTTGCGAATATTCAATTAACCATGGACAATCACTCCCCTCTGGGTCGAGCACTCCTCTCCATGCCAACTCTACTTCTGGAACACCACCTCTTGGAGTAAGAGCTCCCTGCTTCACTAAGCCGTGAGTACCATATAGAGCACCATGAATGGAGTGCTCAGCTTCTTCAACCACCAATTTATTAGAACCAAGAACAACTGTAACTCTTTCCAGGGCTTGCCCAGCCTGTAATCTTGAGCAGTTTGCCACAACCATTTACATTGACCTCCTCAGCTAAATCAGCCAAACCCAGCATGATAGCAGTGATTTGGTCAATGTGAGCAACTGGCTTGGTTCTGCAGAACCAAACCAAAATGGAGAAAAATTTCATTTGGTTCTATGTCATGGATAAAACACAGGTCAACACAGGCCCACAAAGGAAGCTTAACCCAACCTTACAGGAATTTATAGCTCTTCTCAGAAATCAGCAGAGGATACTCTCCAACCTCAAGATACCAAGTTTGTTTATGCCATCTCATGAGTCTTGTGCCTGTGACTCAGCTGCCCTGATTCAAATAGGGAAGACCCTTAGGCCACCAATTAACTGACAAAGCCAAATAGCTTCCACATGTACCTCATAAAACTCCCTTGGTCTGTGAGCAACTCACAACTCATTGTTTCTGTTGCCTTGAGTTTCCCAGCTGGCACATCAAAGGCCTGGCAATAAATTCATCTTTCTGCTTTGTTTTATTCAGTATGCACAGTTTGGTTTTTGACAGTTGCAACTGTCTTACAAATAGCTGAAAAGTCTTATAATCAAGCATTTACAGAAGAAACCACATAAACATAGGTAGGAAGGGCAGAGATAGATACGAAAGGGGCTGGTCCTGCACCCAGGTACTGCACTGAGACTCGGGAAGAGACTGAGGAGCTGGGGTATCTCAACCCCATGCTGGGCTCACCAGACTGGAGCACCAGTGCCAGGAAGAGGAGGCCATACAACATCTGGCTGTGAAAATCAGCATGGGTTCTGTCCACCAGGGAGAGCTAGGAGTATGCTAAAAACCCAGGTGCCCTCTTAAAGGGCACGCAAATTCTCTTTCACAGGCACTCAACCTGGGCTCCAGTAGAGCCGGGGGGGGGGGGGGGGGGCGGGGGGGCGGCGGTGAAGGATTAAAGAAAAGACAAAGAGAATATAACTGGGGCTCGGTGGATCTCCTGTGTCTGGATGAGGCCACAGAGAAGGATCCAGCCAGCAAGCTGAGGCTTTATTTTATAGTCAGAGACAAACAAGGTTGTGGTCAACATAGTTACAATGTTCTTGTGAGTTTCACTTGTTTTGGCAGCACTTGCTGCATCTCCCACAGCCCACTAGCTACCTAGGAAGGATCTAGGGCAGCGGTTCTCAACCTGTGGGTCGTGACCCCTTTGGCGGTCTAATGACCCTTTCACAGGGGTCGCCTAAGACCATCCTGCATATCAGATATTTACATTACGATTCATAACAGTAGCAACATTACAGTTATGAAGTAGCAACAAAAATAATTTTATGGTTGGGTCACAACATGAGGAACTGTATTTAAAGGGCCAGAAGGTTGAGAACCACTGATCTAGGGGGAGGCCATAAGGTCAAGCTTAATTATGGTAAGAGGGCTCTGCCCTCTAAGCTGGGACTTGTTTATGGCTCTCCACAGGTCAATCTGAGGCTTACCTCTAGAGCAGTGGTTCTCAACCTTGGCTGCACATTCAAATCACCTGGGAATCTTTTTAAAATCCTGATTTCTGGGCCTCATCCTCTGGAAATACTGTTTCTTTGTTATGGGGTGGGGCCCTAAGTAACTACTAATCTGCTTTCTGTCTTTATGGACTTGCCCATTCTGGACATTTCATATAAACAGAATCATACAATATGTGACCCTTTGTGTCTGGCTTCTTTCACTTAGCATAACGTTTTCTAGGTTCATCTGTGTTGTAGCCTGTATCAGTTCTTCATTCCTTTTAATTGTTAATATTCCATGGTATGGCTATTCCATGTTTTTGTTCATCACTCCATCAGTTTTTGAACATTGGAGTTGTCCCATTCTGGGCTGCTGTGAACATTTGTGTTCAAGGTTCTGTGTGGACATATGTTTTCATTTCTCTTGGGCACAGACCTAGGAGTAGGAGGCCACCTATTATTGGGGAACACATGAAAACAGTGACCTCTGCTTCATGGTTCCCGATTTATGATAAAGTTAAGTGTTCACCAGTGGTGTGTTGTTCAGATAACTTGGTTCAAATATGGATATTGTGTGGTCATACTCTTCACACAAATGCTCATACCATACATATATTTAGTTCATATTTATTTAGGTGGTTAAATCAGAGCATCATTCCTGATCCCCTCTCCTCACTAGAGGGTCTGCATCCTTTTTACAACGATGCAAAAATATTAATTTCATTTCTTTCACCAGAAATGGCCTTGAATCAGCTCACTGTGAAAAATGACCAGTCCCAAAGGCCAGCCTACGTCCAGCCAGGCCCTGTCTAGAGAATGAGGGGTCCATGCTATGCGTTGACAAGTGGCCCAATTCCTTCCTATCATAAGTGAGAGGGTTGAGCCTCTTGTTCTCACAAAGGATCCATAGAGATTAGACTCACTGAGAGCTTCCCTCAAGTTGCCTTAGCAGAAGGCCTGGCCCACTTCAGTCCTGCCCAGCGGAGCTCCAGGGGAGGGGCCCGAAGGATCTGTATTTTTAACCTGTTGCTGACCCAGCAGCCCATTTAGGAAATGCCGTTCACAGGCCTCCGTTGGTCTCTAGCCTTTCCCATCCTCTCCATGCCCCTCAAGGATCTCTTACGGGGCCTGTGGTCACCCCAAAGCCTCCTCTGAGAGTTCCTCGTTAAGCCCTTCCTCCCCCTTTTCCAAGCCCCTTTCAAGGCTGTCATGGCCACAGGAGGCCGCCCACAGAGGTGCTGAAGGGAGCTTGTTAGGCCAGATCAGCTGTTCTCAAAGAGTGGTCCCCACCTGAGGGTCCCCAAGGTCAAAACTCATTTCATGATAATAATACCTTTTCTTTCTGTATGTGTGGCTTTTTAGATGCTCATTCTCTCAGGAGTTTTCCAGTGGAATGGGTTAGTCTCTGTTCTTGTTTTACAATTTTTCTCAGTTTTAATTACTAATAGTAAATATCCACACAAACACAAAACTCTTTGGGGTCCTCAATTTTTAAGACTATAGAGGGATTAGAAGACCAAAAACTTTGAGAAACCTGACCGAGATGGTTTTCTAATTGGTGATAATTACTAATTTGATAGATGAATGAGGCTGCTTATGGAGGGGAGGAAATGGGAGGAGACAGAGAAGAAAAAGGAAAGGAATGGTTTCGGGAAAGGGAGGAAGGGGGTGGAAAGGGAAGAGAGAGAGGAAGAAAAGGAGGAGCAAGAAAGGAGACAAGGAGAGAGGTGGGAGAGGAAGAGAGAGGAGGGAGGAGGTGAGAGAAGGGAGAGGAAGGTAACAGGAAAAGGAGACGGGGAAGGGAGGATGGGTGGACAGACAGAGCTCCGAAGCAGGGAATTGACCCTATTGAAGATGTGCCAAGGCTGAGCTAGGTATATGCTTTATGTATTTCAGTGCTGTCCCATTTCATAGATGAGGACACCGAGGCTGGGAGAAATCTGGATGATACCTTATATCCTGTAAAAGGGGTGGAGCTGGGTCTGAACCTAAGGTCACATCCTTTGTCACCATGCTGTCCCCCTCTAGCTTACAGATGAGTCGTAACTGTCAGTGTGCCCCCTTCTAGCCTGCTGGCCAAACAACTACGCAAGCCCAGAATGCAAAGGCCTTTACTACCTTTGCTGCCATTAAGCTACATGTAATCCAGGGAAGGGAGTGGAGGAGGCCAAGGGGTGGGAAGGGGAAAGGGGATGTAGAGCGGCTGCCTGGTTTCAGGTCACAGGCCTTTCCCATCAACCCCCATCACTGCCCACCTCCTCAGGTGACTCCCTTCCTGCCTCCCCCTTCTCTTCTCTGGCTGGGGAGGGGGGTCCAAGGCTACGCACACAGGGACACATTCATTGGGCCCCTTCACCACAATCAGTTTGCTGGGTTTGCCCCCAAATCCTCTAAAAAAAAAAGACAAACTGGTTGAAAAACTCCACTTGGCATTATTTTCAATATGCAAAATACAATTTATTACTTGGCGTTTACCCTTGAGTGTCCATATAGTGTAGTACATTCCCAACCAAGTATTTCATCAATAAATACTAAACAGCACACACTGTGAGATGAAGTACTTATAGGGGAGGTGGCTTACTGCCCACGGGGTGAGTATTCTACAAAATATTCCCATAGGGCCCTTAAAGTTGTTTTTTAATTGGAAAGTTATGGACTATTATGCGCTGAAGATGTGCTCTGCCTCTCCAAACATAAAGCTCGACTTTCCTGTGCAGAGGCAGGAAAGGGTCTGTGGGAGAGAGGTAGGGGAGGCTGTAACTAGGAGACGAGGAGCATTCTGGAATGTTCTGGGAGTGCAGCTCAGGGATTCCATGGACACACTGCGGGACCTGCCCCCTCAGCAGCTGGGTGGGCCTGTGCCCATTTCCCAGAGCCCCTGTCCAGGCGGTCCCCTGCGGGGGAGAGAAGGTGGCTGAAAAATGGTCCCCGGGGACCATGTCCTCTTCTTCCCTCTGGGCTCTTCTGAGGCAAGCGGGAGCCTTTTCTATTGCTCTCACTAGGGCTGTTGCATAGTAAAACCCTCACAAATGACTGAATATAACCATTCTGTTTATTTTTTTTAAACAGATGGGAAAGATGGCCCGACTGGTCCATTATGACACCTGACCAAGTAGATCTGAGGGCGGTCCCGCACCCCCGAGCTGATGGGTGCCAGGCCCAGGCCTACCCGATGGCTGTGCCCACGCTGGAAGGGCCTCTCTGAGCAGCAGGGTCTGGGGCTGGGCCTGCAGAGCCCGAGCCTGCCCCGGGAGAAGGGCCGGGCGGGAACAGGGCTGAGAGGAGACTGGCGATCCAGCAGATGCAGCAGACACAGCCCTTGGGCACCACAGGAGCCACCGGCGAGCCTCACCCAGGTGTGTTTTTGGAATTTGAGGTGACTTTTTACTTCCCTAATGCATGCCATCTGGATGAATAAGGAATTTTCTAAAACAAAAAATAAGCCTCTCTATACCTTTAGAAACAAAATAAAGCAAAGGGTCTTGTAACAAAGCACTTGGTATCTTCCAGAAGGAATTGCTGAATTTCAAATAAAGACAAGATATCTTTTATGTTCTTCTTCTCAATAGAAAACATTACTTTTTAAAACCTAGCCATTAATTTGTATATGCAATTACATCCTTAATGCAATAAATATGAGTATAATGGAGATGGACAAGATCCCCGTTAGGCTGAGGGATGTCACTGATCCTCACATGTCTAATACTAGTGACAGGCCTTGCACTAAATGTGCTGTCCCGTGTTCCCACACAGAAAGGTTTGTCTGCTCTGAGAAGCATGTGTGTCACAGCGTTCAGCTTTTCCCTTGGAAGAAAAGGATGTGTCCACGTGATAACACTCCTGTCACATCATCACATGATTCATGAGTTAAACCTCCCGTCCATCGTATGCACACCTGCTTCATTTATAACAGTTCACACAGATGAAAATGTTTTATATGAAACAAGACAATATGATGCAAGACTGGGAAATATACTCTTACAATAAAAACACATTTTAAAAAAAGTGCATCTGTCTAATTACATTTGGAATGGGAACTTCCTCCTATCACAGATCAGTTACCACGGCCCTCCTCCTACAGCCACTGAAATCAGCACTTCCGGAGGAAGGCCCGTCACAGCGCACGCCGACGGAGACCAGGTTCTAAGGAGCTCCAAAACAAACCCGAGTCAAAGAAGCAGTAGGAAATACATTAGATGCTGGATTCTGTTGGTAACTGAATGAACTGAGCTGAGTATAATTAAGAATAACCTTAAAAATGAGTAAATTTCAGCCTGGCTGGCGTGGCTCAGTGGTTGGGCACTGACCAGGGTTGTGGGCTCCATCCTCAGTGTGGGGCGTGCAGGAGGCAGCTGTTCAACGATTCCCTCTCATCACTGATGTTTCTATCTCTCTCTCTCCCTCCCCGAACTCAATAAATATATATATTTTTTAAATGAATAAATTTAAAAAGTGCTCAAAATGAAAAAACAACAAAAATCCCCCAGCAGCACTGTACTTGAAGGTGTTCTCCTAGTGCTGAAGGCTGACAGTGGTACTTTTGCAGGGCTGGTAGTTTTAATAGTAATACTGGAGATGTTTGGTGACCTTTCAGCCAAGTTGTGATAAAATCGAAAGTCCTCTAGAAGTAAGATCTATTTACATGTGGTGATTTCAAATTCTAACCTCAGGTACCTAAGTGCGTATTGTGAGGAAACGATTAAGCCCAGACCTGCAAAGACACAAATAGATAATTGTCAGTTTCTTTAGTACTTAACAACTTACAAAACCTGAGTTTAAAGGGATAAATCAAAGTCTCTTTATACACACACACACACACACACACAGTGGATGGAAATACTCCATCCAAAATAGAGCACTTGCATGTCTTGGAAAATAAAACACTTTCCTCTTAGCAGCTCATTTATTCATTTGTTCATTCATTCTTTAAACAGTGATTTAGTGCCCAGGTGTATCAGGTACTGTGCTTTGCCCTGAGGATTGAGAGAGGAGAAAGGTGCATGTTTCCACCTGATGCCCGTCCCACCCTCCCACCCCCCGCACCCTTAGTTAACTGTCTAAGGGCATCTGTGGCCTCCCACGAGGGACTGGTAACTCTTAGATTGGCAAAGGAAGACATCTGTACCCAGACAGCTCTCTGAGTACATTAATACAACTTTACTAATTTAGGCAACTCCTGACCAGGAAGATGAATGAAGTCACAAATAACTTTATTGTTTGTTTCAGGAACTTTGCAAAAGTCCATTCACTTTTTTATCCTATGAGTACACGAGTCAAGTATCCTCTTTAGAAGAGACACTTCTTAGAACAACACAGAGCATCAAGGGACTGGTCACTGTTAAAGCCCATCTTCGAAATCCTCCCCTCACCCCAGCCTGTGCCCAGCAATCTGAAACTCTACGCCACTAAAGTCCCTCCATCAAAAGATCTGCCTCAATCCCTAAAACCTCAAGGATCTGCCTTTGCTCTCCCTCCTAAGACACTACTGAGACGGTCAAGTTTGTGGTGTTCCACACTGTGGTGAGCTTTGCTTTGCAAATAGTATTTCTGGGGAGCCAACACCTGACAGTCTTGGAGCTTTCTGAGAATATTAAAAAAAAAAGCCATGAGGAGGACACACACAAAATCTGGCATATACTTTCAGGGGCTTCATGCCCTCCTAAAGCCCCTCTGTCGGTTTCATAGGGGTCTGTAACCACAGAAGAACCCTGCAGTTCTAGGAGGCGAGATTGGCAATCTGTGGTTTGTCAAAGGCTAGACTCAGAAGAATCAGACTTTTAAGGTCAAAAGGAACCTTCTGAATCACCTAGTCCAGCTATTCCCTCAACTACACGCTGATACATAGTTGTATAATCCAGGCATGAACACCTGTGTCGATGGGGAACTCACTACATCCCAGGCCACTCATTCCTTCTGAGGCTCTGAGTAGAGCTGAAATCTGAGCTTCATGTAGCTGTCCAGCCTCTCCTAGCTCACTCGGACTTCTGCTTTCAGGAAGGCCAATCACGCCTCTTCTCACACACAGAGTAAAATAGAAAGTCTCCTCGCTTACTCTTAGGGTGTGATCCCAGGATCCTGAGCAAAAAGCAGTCCCATCAGGGGAAACTCGTAGAGTACTGACACGGTTTTCATGTCCAAACAGGATGGAGACTCGAGCCCCCTTGAGCACATCCCAGACGTTGATGGTATAATCGTTGTATCCAGCAAACAGCAGGCGACCTGGAAGCAGGAGGATGTGATAGTTATTAAACCAGTTCCTTCCTTCCTGTTTTTCTTTTTCATGACTCTCGCTCGCTTGCTTGTTCGTTCATTCGTTCATTCGTTCATTCGTTCATTCATTCATTCATTCACTCGTTCACTCGTTCACTCCTTCAATAAACAGTGATTTAGTGCCCCCGTGTGTCAGATACTGTGCTTTGCCCTAAGGGTTCAGAGGAGAAAGCACAGTTGCTGCCCCTGTGGAGGATGGCCTTGGTAGGCAGACACATAAATCATAGCACCATGTGATAAGGACTATACTGGAAGTGCTCAGCTATGTGTCATGTGCTATCCCATCACAGAGGAAGGGTCAAGGAAGACACTGCAGAGGAAATGACATCTGATGGGCTCTTGAGGGGTGAAGAGAAGTTGAAGTTTGCCATGCAGAGAAAAGAGAGAAAAGATGTTTCAGGCAGGAGTAGCTGCATGCATGCACGAAGGCTCAGGTGCAGAATTGGGGGAGTGTCTGGGGAAATTGAATGGTCCAGTGACCCAGAGTATCAGTGCTGCCTTAATGTTCACTAGCAGCCTCCCCAGCTGGGAGGGCAGAGGTGCCATGAGCTTCAGGGCATTGAGAAAGGTCACCCACCCTCCACCTCTGAAAAAAAAGTCCTTTTTCAGGTGTGAAGGGAGAATGGAAGGCTGGGGAAGAAGTGCCTAAAGGCCCTTCATATGTGAGCATTTGTCCATCTCTGCCTTGAAGAACAGTATTAGATGGGCACAGCCTTCATTTCCCCCGAAGTGACTGGGGCTGGGGGCAGCCACTGAGGGCAGGGCGAAGTAGGGCTCACACAGCCCGGGGGGCAAGAGGCGGGCACGCGGAACTGGCACAAAAGGAGACTATTTGGCATATGGGCCCACAGGAAGTTTAGCTGAGGGGCCGCGTGACGGAGAGCTGGGTGTCACTTAGGTCCTGTTTTACAGTCCCGGGAAAGCTTCTGACATAAAATCTTACCACTGAGGGAGAAGTCCACGCTGGATGCTCCAAATATGATACTCTCCTTGGAATAGATGGCGACCTCTCTGTCCGCCCGGAGGTCGTAGAGGCGACACTGGGGTGCAAACAAAGGAGCACTTACTTCTGGCTCCAGTTTGGCGAGGCGACACCACAGAGCCACCAGCAGGTGCCAATGGCTTGTGTGGTTGCAGAGGTAAGGGAGCCACCTCTTAGGTTCTCTCTCCCAGTATTTTCTCCCCCAATCCCGATGCCTATTCATCTCCAATGGAGACTTAAAGACACAGCAAATACAGAGGACTTCTTCAGGTACAAAACCAAAAATGAAGCCCAGCCTTTTTTTCTGATGAGGGATACATGGTCATTGCAGAAAATTCAGAAAAACTCAAAATGCATAGAAAACAAAATAAAAGTCACCCCAAATCCTAGAGATATTGACTAAACCTTTTTCCTTCAGACTTACTTCTGTTTTATGTGTGTATTAAAAAAATAAATAATGAAAAAAAAAACATAGGGTGAATGTTTCATTACTTTTCTCATTATGTTATGAGCGTTATCTCATATCATTAAATAATCTTCCAAAAAAACCAATTAATGTGGTTGTTAATCTTCATGTAGATATATCAGAATCTAGTCATATCCTGTTAAAAAGATCTTTGTTTTTATTTTTTCTCTTTTATAATAAAACTAGAGGCCCGGTGCACGGATTCATGCACAGGTGGGGTCCCTAGGCCTGGCCAGCAATCAGGGCCGATCAGGGATGGGCCGATCAGGGCCTGCCAGCCAGGGGGAGGGACAGGGTGTGGGAGGTTGGCTGCTGGCCCCGAGGAGGGAGCAGGCCCTCGGCTCTCCTGGCAAAGGGGCTGCTTCCGCCACCACCCAGCCTCGGTTCCCCATCCCAGCCAGGGGCCGAAGGCGCCGGGCAGGGTCAGGAGAGGAGGCAATGGTTGCTGGACTAGGCGCGGAAGGAACGAACGCTGGACGCTGATGCCACTGGCTGGCTGTGGGAGGTTGGCTGTGGGAGTGCACTGACCACTGGGGGGTAGCTCCTGCACTGAGCATCTCCCCCCAGTGGTCAGTGCACGTCATAGCGACTGGTCGACCGGTCGTTCGGTTATAATGGTTGCTTAGGCTTTTATATATATATATATAGATTATCTCCCATTCTTATGTAAAAATCCCTGATGTCCTCCTTATAATAGCTATGGAATAGAATCTTTAGGATAGAATTATTTCCAAGAAATAGCATGTCTAGATCAAAGGGTAGAGATATTTTGAAAGTTCTTCTATCACAGAACTGCTTTCTAGAAGGCTGGTACCCAGGGTCCTGATCAGGCTGGCCCCAGACTCCTCGCCACACCACCTCCACCCGAGCATTTCTCCTGCAGCTGAGCATCTGATCATTGAAACTTGCATTTCTTGGATTAGAGGTGATTTTGGAAACATTTTCAGTTTATTTGCTATTTTGGGTGTATTGCTTTATAAATGGTCTGCATTCTATCTTTCTTTAAAATTGGGGTATATTTCTTATTGATTATGCCTCCCCATTCATATCTAAAGGATTTCAACTTGGTCTGGCATACATGTAGCAAGGATTTTTCCAAAATGTATGCACTAACATTTGGTTATATATTTTTGACATCCATAAGTTAAATTTTTATTATTACCAAAACTCTCAATCCATTCCTTTGTAATTTCTTCCATAGTATTGAATCAGAATCAAAACTATTATTACTATTATTTAATAATTTATTTGGTATTTTCAGGGCACAAGAAGGTATTTCTTTTCTCTTAAAAACAATCAGTGAACATAATTTTTTAATTAGTATCAAAAGCTTTAAAACTAGGCCTATTTTTTAAAAAATATATTTTATTGATTTTTTACAGAGAGGAAGGGAGAGAGATAGAGAGTTAGAAACATCGATGAGAGAGAAACATCGATCAGCTGCCTCCTGCACACTCCCCACTGGAGATGTGCCCACAACCAAGGTACATGTCCTTGACCGGAATCGAACCCGGGACCCTTCAGTCCACAGGCTGATGCTCTATCCACCGAGCCAAACCGGTTACGGCAAAACTAGGCCTATTTTTAACTCAGAAAGTTCATGTCTGAGAATTCATTCTATGGAAATAATGAGAGGCTCCAAAAATACTTACTTATAGCAGTGTTTTTAAACAGGAAAAAAACACATACCTTGAAAACCCAAATGTCCCAAAATTGAAGACTGGCTAAGTAAATGATGGTTTGTCTATAACATGGGAAACTGTTTAATCATTAAGAAAAAATAATATAGAACAATTTTTATTGGCATAGGAAAATGTCCACAATCTATTAGTAAGTGAAAAAAAGCAAATTTTGTTTAACAAGGAAAGAGACAGAAAGGAATTCATCTAATTGTGATTTTTCCTGGGTAGGGAGATTAAGGTAATTTAATTTCTCCCCAAGATTACTTCAAAGAATACACATTATTTTTGTAATCAGGAAAAAAAGTTATTTAAAAAAATAAAATGAAGGCAGCACATCTCTCTCTCAAATAAGAAAGCTCTCAATGACTTGGGAACATACCGTAGCATCGTCCGATCCTGAGGCAAAGGCATCTCCGCTCGGGTAGTACCTGCAGAGAGGAAGTTGGGGAGAAAGCACTTTAGATGGTGACTCCCAACCCTGGGTGCCCGTCACAACCGTCTGGGAAGCTGTCCCGTGCTAGGCCCTCGGAATCAGGATCCCCACTTCTAGGGACATAAGGACCATTTGTTACAGAGGCCAGAGAGGGAAGCTCATCCGGCAGACCGCTGGCCTCTAGTTTTCTTCCCTGTCGATAGGGGACAGTGGCACTGGCCTTGCAGAGTGCTGGTGAGGAGTAAATGTGATAACGCGGGTATCTGTACCAGGCATGGAGCACAGAGCAGGTCCCCGGACCCGGAGTTTTCCTTGACCACATACCTCATTCCTAAGACGTGGCCCAGAGCTCAGGGCCACGGCAAAACCAGGCCTATATAACCAAGAAAGTGGTTATAAACACAGACACTGGAATCAGACACACAGAGCCACATGCAGATCCCTGCACTGACCACTTACTGCATGGGATACTTGTGCAAAGTGACTTCACCTTGCACAGCCTATTTCCTCGTCAAGAGGGAATAAGACAGCATATGCAAAGAATGTGGCACGGTGCCAATAAACAGCTTTCAGTCAGTAACGATGCTTTCTGTCACAGTCACTCTTTTCTATAATCCGCTTCCCAGAGAGAGGCAGGCCTCCGTGGAGACCTGGTGGAATAGTGGCCATCAGAAGAGGATCAGGGCAAAGGCAAAAGCATGGGTGAGAGACTGCGCCTTTTTAAGCTGTATCTCAACATAAGGGTTTACTTGATTTTTGTGGATATTCTGTCCTGCACCTTAGTAACTTCATTTTCTATCTGTAGTAAATTCTGGATTGATTTTCTTTGATTTTCTAGGTAATTGCTACACATTTGCAAAAAGTGATAGCCTTTTTCCTTTTATCTTATCCCATATTTGAGGGCAGGGAGCTAGACAATTCTTACTAACATTTCTACTACTAATGTAATTAAGTTGTCTCATTTTATTCTTGCTTTTAAGGGGAACAAGCCTAGTATTGCCCAGGAAGCATAATGAAGATTCCTGGGTGATTATAATATATATGCTGTTGGAACAGTGTCACCTTCCAAATTTATATGTCAAGTACTGACCTCTCTCTTAGGATCCAATTCATAAATCCTACATGTCATTTGGCCCTTTTCATGTCATCCTGTGGAATTTGGGCTCAAGTAACCAGCACAGAGATGCTGACACTCTGACTACTGCCACTGCTCTGAGTAATAAACTGTCCTTCATCTCTGACCCAGCAGTCTCATGTCTTCTATCTACCAGCAGCCAGGAACTTGTGGTAGCCTAACTTGATAGCTTGCAGGTCGTGTAAAACCTCAGAACATTCCCAATTCTAGACAGTTCTGTCTCTATTATGCTTTCTTAGTTCCAGCCGCCATCCTTTCTCTCTTGATCTCACACAACTTCTTTCTAACCAGCTGTCACACTTCCTTCCATTCTTGCTCCCCTATACCCTGTTCTCCACACAGCAGCCAGAATGATGTTTTAAAGGCAAAACATAGATCATGTTAGCCACCCTCTCCCCCAACTCAACAATCTGGCCTTTTGTTAGGTCCCTGAACATCTCATCTCCCCCCAGCTTTTTGTAAGCCTGGCTCTTGTATAATCCTGGCCTCAATTTAAATATCATCTCCTCAGAGAGGCCTTCCCTGACTATTCTAAGAAACAACCCATCCCATTACATCTCCTTGTTTTACTTTTATTCATAGCACTTATCAGTATCTCAAATTAAATCATACATTTGTTTATTTGTGCATTGTCTTGTCTCCTGCAGGAAAGGAGAGACCTTGTCTATCTTATTCACAACTGTATTCCCAGTTCCTGGGATAATGTTTAGCCTAGAAGTACTCAATAAATATTTGTTGAATGAATGAATGAGAGATACTGACTCATTGCCCCTGGTACAATTATATTAAAAGGTCTCCAAAAGCTTTGGAGCGCTATTCAATCCCACCACAGATCAGCCATTCTTGCTGGGAGGCCTCTCAGCCCAGTACACTGAGCCTGGAGGCGGTGATGGGCTCAGGATCACCCCAAGCCAGGGAGCCCAGGAGAACAGAGGAGTAGCTGAACACCCTACTCACTGACCGGACACTGTTGACGTCTGATTCATGAGTTTCAAAGGCCTGCACGCACTGGCCGGAGCGCATGTCCCACACCATGGATTTCTTGTCACATCCCTACAAATGCAAAGTTACCCAGAGTTAAGGCCGCTGCAAGGAATGCCCACAGACAGGCATGAGTTCCAGTTATGTAACACAGACCATTTATGTCGGAGACCAGCTTTGCTTAAGGCCACTTCAACTGATGAGGCCTTAGAAGGCCAGAACTAAATCTTGGATTCGGCGGGGGCCAAGGGAAGGACCCAGCTTCCCCCTGTAGCATGTTTTCTTCTTTGGCAGCTTACTGAGTGGGCACAAACTGTCCAGAGCCTACTCTCACCTTCCCCATGGCATTTCCCATGTCTTCATTGTTCCCTTTCCTTCCTCCTCCCTCTATCGCTGCCTCTCTAAGCCCAGAGGGGAGAGCAGACAGACAGTGGTGCCAGGTGGGTCCTCCCAGCTTTGTCTCAGGCGTCAGGGGCAGCCCTGAGCAAAGGTGGACCTCTAGGTGCCTCTGGGCCATCTGCACCCCAGCAGCCCCCTGGCTGGGGATCAGCAGAGCAGGAGCCCAGTCATGGCGCTGCCAGCAGTTAGCTGGCTGCCTGGGCCAGTCACCTACCTGGCTTCCACCTCAAGACCTGTAAGCCACTCTCTCTGGATCGCCAGCCTGACCCAGAGGTTCATAAACATACGATTCCTACATTATACGATCATGGTTCTAGGAGCATTTTGATAAAGTCCTGCAGAGCAGTCCTGTTGTCAAGTTTGGGGACTATGATGTGGTCTCTCACTTGTCAAATAGAAGAAGTACTGGATTTGGTGTCCAAATTGTTGGTTTCAACTTAGAGGATGGGGACGGGGACAAGGCACCATAACTGACATCTCAGGAAGACCTGCTGTGGGTTCAGCACTGAGTGTCTTTACTGAGAATGAGGACGAAGGACCAGGAGTGTTTTCTAACCCTTAGAGGACACTAAATCAGAGGGGTTTAATGCTCTGAAAGAGACAACAGAATCTACCATGACAGTGACAATTTGAGTAAACAGCACAGCCGAGGAGAGAAACACAGTTATTCAAACGTGCAGAAATGAAATACACAGAGATGGTCAAGTGCCCAAGAATAAAAGCGAGGCCCCTGCTATTTAGAGGCAGAGAGCCCTCGCCTGAGGCCCAGAACTAAGAGGTGGACAGCTGGGAGCAAAGGGTCTCATGTCTTCCAGCTGCAAACATCACTTTGATAAGGGTTAGCTGCTAGCTTAATTAGGCAGAGAGGAAGGGAGGGTCCAGGGAGGATGGAGGCATTTCTGGCCTGAGCAATTAAAATAGCCATAAACCAAGGACAGAGGGATCTCTGGCCTGAGCAGCTGGGAGAGCCATAGGGGTAATAAAACATCTCTGGCCAAGACAACTAAGAGAGAGCCATAAGGGAGATCAAAAGCAACTCCAACTTGAACAGATTAGATGGATAATGTTGCAAAATGAGGAGGAGAAAATGGGGGGGAGGCACGTGGGCTTTAGACTTTAAAACTAATACTATGTAGAAGAATGACCAATGAGGAAAGCCGGGGGTCTTAAATTAAGGAAAGGGTCCAATTGCTAAGGGTCAGATTCAAACAAAGAACTACAACATATATAAACCAGAGACAAAGGAACATGAGACAGATTTTAGATTTTTGGACTTAGATTTTTCCCATCAGAGAGAGAAAGAGAGAAAGCGAGTGAGCATTTTTTTCCCCATTTGAGGGCCCCTCCGCAGGGGGGTCCCCTTTGGGGATTCTTGCCCAGATGGAGTTTTATATGCTTTCAATAAGTTTCCTCATTTTTATCAAAGAAATCTGTTAGTCCACGAATTTATTCTTCAACTTCGCCAGACAAGAATCCACAGAAGTCTGTACCCTGAACCCCACGTTTCAAAATCTGTTAGTCCACGAATTTATTCTTCAACTTCGCCAGACAAGAATCCACAGAAGTCTGCACCCTGAACCCCACGTTTCAATTTGATGGTGTAGCATCATCGACCTCTCCTGACTGACTCGAGGTCAGGCCAGCCAGCTTAATTCCCCATTTTTATTCCTAGCTGTCCACAAAAATACTCGCCCCTACTATTTGTATAACACAACGTAAACTCTTCTACCTACTATTCATAATGTCCTGGGGAAGGGAGGAGGCAAGAACTATTGTGCATCACGCCCAGTTTACAGATGATGAAGTTTAGAGTGAGGTAGCAAAGCCGGGACCCAGGCATCCTGATTCCTAGCCTAGTGCTGCTCTGTGTCACCGTGGCCTGTCTGCCCAACTGAGACCTCAGATACACTGTTCGATGGTGACTGGCAGGGGTGGGGCAGGAGAGTGTCCCACCAGCCCCAACGCTCTGTTCACACACAGTGCTGCCTCACTGAGCGTGTGCCCTGGTGGCCACTTGCAATGCTGTCAGATACAAACTCCACTATTTATCTGAGGAATGATTTTTAAATGTGGCAGATACGTGCCCCGAGTGATAGCAGTCACACCAGGAGAACATTCCAGATCCTTCCGTGGATGCTGAATGTCGGGGCAGATTGGGAGGCCCTCCCAGTACCACCATTGCTGCAGGAGCTGGGGGTGCAGTGGGGAGCTGGGGGTGCAGTGGTGACCTGGAGTGCAGTGTTGACCTGGGGGTGCCATGGGGAGCTGGGGTACAGTGGTGACTTGGGGGTACTGTGGGGAGCTGGGGTACAGTGGGGGGCTAGGGGTGCAGAGGGGAGCTGGGGGTGCAGAGGGGAGCTGGGGTACAGTGGGGAACTGGGGGTGCAGAGGGGAGCTGGGGGTGCAGAGGGGAGCTGGGGTACAGTGGGGAGCTGGGGTGCAGAGAGGAGCTGGGGGTGCAGAGGGGAGCTGGAGGTGCAGAGGGGAGCTGGGGTACAGTGGGGAGCTGGGGTGCAGAGGGGAGCTGGGGGTGCAAAGGGGAGCTGGGGGTGCTGTGGGAACCTGGGAGTGCAGTGCTGACCTGGGGGTGCCATGGGGAGCTGGGGTACAGTGGTGACTTGGGGGTGCTGTGGGGAGCTGGGGTACAGTGGGGGGCTAGGGGTGCAGAGGGGAGCTGGGGGTGCAGAGGGGAGCTGGGGTACAGTGGGGAGCTGGGGGTGCAGAGGGGAGCTGGGGTTACAGAGGGGAGCTGGGGTACAGTGGGGAGCTGGGGTGTAGAGGGGAGCTGGTGGTGCAGAGGGGAGCTGGGGGTGCAGAGGGGAGCTGGGGGTGCAGTGGGAACCTGGGGGTGCAGAGGGGAGCTGGAGGTGCAGAGGGGAGCTGGGGGTGCAGAGGGGGGCTGGGGTACAGTGGGGAGCTGGGGGTGCAGAGGGGAGCTGGGGGTGCTGTGGGAACCTGGGAGTGCAGTGCTGACCTGGGGGTGCCATGGGGAGCTGGGGTACAGTGGTGACTTGGGGGTGCTGTGGGGAGCTGGGGTACAGTGGGGGGCTAGGGGTGCAGAGGGGAGCTGGGGGTGCAGAGGGGAGCTGGGGTACAGTGGGGAGCTGGGGGTGCAGAGGGGAGCTGGGGTTACAGAGGGGAGCTGGGGTACAGTGGGGAGCTGGGGTGTAGAGGGGAGCTGGTGGTGCAGAGGGGAGCTGGGGGTGCAGAGGGGAGCTGGGGGTGCAGTGGGAACCTGGGGGTGCAGAGGGGACCTGGGGGTGCAGTGGGGGCCTGGGGGTGCAGAGGGGACCTGGGGTTGCAGAGGGGAGCTAAGGAGTACCTGAAAACCCTTTCAGGAACCCATCCCATCTAGTCCCAGGAAGTGACATGAATTGCCACCACCACCCTCCCTGGTAGACAGAGGACTCTAGACATGTTCCTTGGGTCTTTACCCCGGACACGAAGGTGTTTCCCGTCTCTGAGGGCGCCAGGTCCAAGCAGAGCACGTCGGCCCCGTGCCCGTGGAAGCTCTGCAGCAGCTGCCCGCTCTCCACGTCCCACAGGGCGCAGGTCCCGTCGCCGCTTGCCGTCAGGATCTGACGTGGGAAAGGACAGGAAGAGTGTGTTGTCATTATTAGCTCTGTGAGGGGCAAGGCCATCAGGGAAAAGAGGCTACACACACACACACACACACACACACACACACACACACACACGCACACGACCCTGTCACTGAGCTGCGTTCCTGGGCCTGTCCTCCAGCGTACGGATCCAGAGGCCTCCCTGCTGTACCCGCGGGGCTCTCCACTGCCTGGCATGCATGACTCTGTGAACATTTGCTGAACAGAACTGTGACTGGCTCCCACAAGCAGCCTCGCCCACGGTTGTACAGGCCCAGTCACCGGCTGCCCGCTATAGAGTGTGGGGCGAGTCCTGAGATTCTGCAGTTCTCACAAGCTCCCGGTGCTGCCGACGATGGTCACTGGGCCCCATCGGCAGCAGCCAGGGTCGAGGCAGCATTTTGTTAGACACCCTCCTATTGCTGCTTCTCCCAGGTCAGGGTGCTCTCCAGAGGCCCCCGGGCCACTGAAAGGTGCTGACACTCGTGCGCACAGGGCCAATGAGCACTGGTCACGTGCTGATGACGTCCCGGCGCTCTGCCAGGGTTAGGGTTTGCGGGAGGATTGGGTCTTGGCCTCCACTCTCCTGAAGCTCGCTCAGTTTAACAGGATTGGCTGTCAAAGCAGAAACCAACCTAATCCCCTGTCTCCGTGTTAATCAGTTCTGGGACCAGGCATACTCTCCTGATGCTGTGCTACACACCACTGTGACCAGCAAAAATAACCTGCCTGCTTGCTCTAGGAAATACCTGCTCCTGCAAAATAGGACTGTGAACCAAGTAAACAACTTATTAAGACTAACTGCTTGCTCATCAAGACGGGCTTTAAGGCCCTTATCTCACTGGGCTCACCAACCCAAAGCTATTAAATCGTCAGCCAGTTTCTCACTGTGAGAGGTCCACCTTAAAACCACCCAGTGCAGTATCTGAAAGCCTCCAAGCAGCCTTCCCTGCTTTCTCCACCTTAAGGCCTATAGAGTCTCAGGTTGGGGTTCCCTTCCTCACGGCAGTAGGTCTAAGGAACTTGGCATTGCTGACGGGGTCTTGTAGACAAGACATTGATCACTGACAGAGTGTGGGAAGTGCTGAGAAACAGGTGGGCCCACGGAGGGCACCAAATGCACCCTGGGGCATCTGAGCTGGTCTTAGAGGATGAGTGACAGCTGGCCAGGGGAAGGAGGCAGGGCACTGCAGTGACCATCCACCTCTGCACTGGATGAAAGGTGTGTCTGTGGAGAGTGAAGACTTCAGTCTGCAGACAAAAAGCAGCTATGGAAAGCTTCCGAGCAGAATGATAAGATCAGGGTGTATTTTCGGAGACTCTGTCAGCTCAGTGCCGAGATCCCTCCGTAAAGGCCGGCCCACACAGGGAGAGAAACGCTGGGCTGCCTGGGGAAAGGCATGGGGGCAGAGCCAGTGCATGAGGCTTGGGCTCCGGAGCATACCTTCGTGGGGTTGGGAGAAGGCAGTGGGATCCAGGGCTCCCAGACCCAGCTGACGGCACCACAGCACCCTGGAGCCAGGAGAAGCCATGGGGGGGATGACAAGCCATAGCAGAACCTTCCGGTGCCCCACCTTCTGGCTGCTCCTGGGCCTGGAGGAGGTGATAAGACAGTGCAGGAAGTGGCTGTACAATGTCAAGTGCCCACAGCAGAGAGCCCTCTGTGGGTGATAGTTACTGATGGCCGAGGAAAGAAAACAGGAATCAGGCCTTAAGGACTGCGGGCATGCAATGGCCCACTGACCTGCTGCACCTTCAATTTCCATTCGCTGGCATCTTCTCCCCCACTTTTTAAATATATATATATATTTTTATATATAAAGAGTCACTGTAGTGCCCTGCCTCCTTCACCTGGCCAGCTGTCATTCATCCTCTCTCTCTCCTCTCTCTCTCTCTCTCTCTCTCTCTCTCTCTCTCTCTCTATATATATATATATATATATATATATATATATATATAATTGATTTCAGATAGGAAGGGAGAGGGAGAGGGAGAGAGAGAGACAGAAACATCAATGATGAGAGAGAATCACTGATCGGCTGCCTCCTGCACACCCTCTACTGGGGATTGAGCCTGCAACCTGGGCATGTGCCCTTGACTGGAATTGAACCTGGGACCCTTCAGTCCGCAGGCTGACGCTCTATCCACCGAACCAAACCAGCCAGGGCTAGGCTGTACACTTTTTAATGGGTGATTTTATGATATGTGAATTGTAGCTCCATTTTCTAAAATGTCACATACACACAGAAAGCATAAAGAGGAAAGAAAAAGATCATTAGGATTCTAAGGAGGAGAAAGGCCTGAAGAACTCAGTGTTTCAGGGGGAAGAGGAGAGGTGGAGGTGGAAGGCCTCCCGCCTTCCCATTCCCTCTCCTTCTCTCCTGCACGCTAGGCCTAGCACTGACAGGGAGGGAACACGTTACAGGAGGGGAATCTGCTCCCACCTGGCCTTGGGCCTTCGGGCTGCACTGTCTGGGCATGGATGTCCTGCTGGGAAGTCTGGGGAGGCCTAGGATCACCTCCCGGACAAGAGCTGGGAGAGTTCCGGAGCGTTCAGGCTTCTTGGGTCTAGTCCCCAAGGTCCTCCTCAAGGTCCCCACTGGGAGGAAGCTCTCAAATTTGGGGAATTTTCAAGGCTGCAAATCCCTGCAGCTGTCCATGGGACTCCCTACAGCCTCAGCTTCCATCAAACCTACATCCGACAAGATGAGCAAGGCTGGTAAAAGTAGCTTATGAACACACAAGACTCTGACCGCATCTTAACTTGGGTACTTGTACTTTGAACTATGGTACAACTCCCTCCAATCGCTCCAGGCCCACACCCACTAGTGCATGCGCCATGCCGCTCCTGTCCTAGCACTTGCAGAGGGTCAATATCTCCACTCTGTTTTGGGGACGCCAGGTCCAAATAACCTGCTTTACATGATTGCTACAGGCTAGCTCGTTAGTTTGGTCATTTTTCATACCATGCTCTTCAATCAAACAAATGGATTGCTTTTAGAAGTAAAAAGTAAATTCTTAATATTTTAAAGATACTTTGTGATCTTCATTACAATGTAAGTACAAATAAATTTCTAAAACCAAACACTCATGACTATAAATGCACTAAACATAACCTCTGTGTCACTCATTTATTCTAGAATGTAAAGAATTTACAGCTTTAATGCCATAGTCTTATACCAGCCCCTTGAGGGTTTTTAAAAATATATATTTTTATTGATTTCAGAGAGGGAGGGAGAGGGAGAGGGAGATAGGAACATCCATGATGAGAGAGAATCATTGATCGGCTGCCTCCTGTAGGCCCCACACTGGGGATCGAGCCCACAACCCGGGCATGTGCCCTGACTGGGAGTCAAACTGCGACCTCCTCGTTCATAGGTTGATGCCACACCAGCAGGGCGAGTTTTTCTTTTTTTCATCCTTGATCCCAGAAATGGGAGGAAGCCTCAGGTTCATTAATTCATTAGTACCCACACCAGGCCATGCATCTGAACTGTTGTGTAATGAAGCTTTGTGTTAATATCAATAATAAAACAGTAAGAGCTAATACTTACCAGGGACTGTATGTATTATTTTATACCCATCATCTAGTTTAATCCTCAGAAAACCTTACCAGGGAGGAATTTAGTGCCATCCTCACTTGTAGGTGAGAAAACAAAACAGGGAACACACCTTGCTTAGGACTGACCAGGCCGAATGCAGTGGAGCCAGGACTCGATCCCCGCTGTCTGACTCTGAGCCGTGCCCTGTGCCCTGTGCCCTGGTGGGGTGGCCAGCGGACTTCCCTCTATTCTGTCTATCTCCCTCTGGCTGCCTATTAGGAAACAAGCACTTTCTGCCTTCCAGGTGCCCCACTTCGGTCCCCAACTCAGAGTGAGGGTGACAGGTCTCCACCAGAGACACTTGAGATGCCTGACGACCCCTGTGCCTGCATCCCTCTGTGGCTTCCTTCTTCCACACTGAGATCCTCTCTTGCTTTGCTACTGCTCAGGCTCAAAGGCATCTATCAGGTTGTGGCTGCTGCAGCCAGCTGGGCCCACAGCTCCCCCTACTGTACAGGTCTGCAAGGCTCCTGGTCCCAATCACCAGGTGTAAATACTACACTTCAAGCCTGACACCCCTCTTGTCAGCAATTAAACCATGACCCAGTCACCTGGTCTCCCTGACTGAGTCAGCTGAGGCCAGAGTGGGCCATGGAAGGCTTTATCTGACTCAAACTCTCCTGCTTAAAACAAGTCCAAATATGACCCAGCCTTGGGCTGTGTCCCTGCCCACTTCTCAGGCTGCCTGCCTCCCACTGGGCTCCCCTCACACCTCACTGGCAACACGCTCACCCTCCAAGGCTGGTCCAGGCAACTCCGTGTGGCCTGTGACCACCCCTCCCACCCTGAGCTCCCAGCCTTCCCCGCTGTTCAGTCCTGACTGGTTTCCGTGAAGGTCCCTGAGGGCAGAGACTGAGTGTCCCTGTGGCCCAGAGCCAGGTAGCGCCTGGCAACATGGGTGGTGGACACCTGGAAAGGTCTGCTGAATAGATGTGGAGAAATAAACTACGTTATACTTTTACAACTTGTTAAGAAAATGTGGTCTACGTGTTTAGTATTTTTTCTTTGGGTTTACCCAGAGTAGAGCACAGATCTACTACCTAACGCTTCGTCTTTTGCATCTGTTCAAACAGGAGTGTGAAGCAGATTCAGCGAAGCGTGTGAAGCGCACACTCTGAAGCTCGGCCGCTCAGGGAAGTTGCACACACATTCGTGCCTTGGAACCACCTCTCAGACCAGGAGGTGGACTTCCCACCCCAGGCTCCCTGATCCACCCCAACAAGGCAATCAGAGAAGGATGTTCAGTACGGCATGTAGTTTATCTCCTCTACCAACAGCCAATAGCCCTGGCTTTCCTCATTTCTGCTTTTATTTAAAACAATAATAACCAATGAGGAACAGGAGCTTCCTCTGGAGCACCCCTCCTGCTAAGAGGAACCCTGAAAAAGCCTCCGTTCTCCCCTGGGGCTCCTCCCCTGCCCTCCCGCAGGCTGGCCCTTCACCGGGCCCTCACTTACCTGCATGTCAGAGTTGGTGAAGCTGCAGGCCGACAGGTAGTTGGTGTGCATAGCCACAGACTTCTTTTTGGCAGCCATGCTTTCATTTTTGTCAAAGGTCAGTGGATACACAGAACACTTATTATCCAAACCCCTGGCATGGGAAGAAAGAAGTGTCAAATGTTGATGGAGGGCAATAGAGTGTGTGTATACTTTCTCATTCACACAGGCTTTTCAATAAAAATTTTCCCTTGAGAGCAGTATCACACACTGTAACCTTTCCCCCAACTTTCACTTTGGAGATTTACAAATGCACTGTAAAACTGAAAAAAAAAATAGTACAATGAACACTCAATCCCTTCACCTAAACTCCTAACTTAACATTTTGCGGGAACAAATTCTGAACCATCTGAATGCAAATTGCAGACATGACATGTTACATCTAAATACTTGAATTTGCAAGGGCCCAATCAAGGGTCACACAGTGCATTAGGTTTTTATATCTTTTTAAGATCATTTAATCTAGAACAGGCCCTCTATTTTTTGGTGTTCACAACCACAGACCTTAGGCTACTTGTCGTATAGAATGTCACACATTCTGGACTTGTCACACTGTCATGTGGGTGAGAATGACTTGCACTTGGCTGTGGCCAGAACCAGCCTGCTGGGGACCAGGGCTCCTCGACCCTGGAGGCGAGCCACGCTGACGCTGCAAGCTTTGTAGCTCTGCTGGGCTGTGCATTGCTCAGGATTGCCTGCAACGCATGCGAGGCAGAGAAGTTTGCAGTGTGACGCATCTGGTGTTGAACCTCTGCTTTAGTAGCTAACTCATTTTGCAATCTTGGTTTTGCTTTTTTTTTTTTAGGTTCTCAGAGCCTCAGTTTCCTCAACTATAAAACGAGTATACCCCACCCACGTATCACAAGGGGCTGTTGTGAAGACTGCACAGAATTCAGAATAGTCACCGACACAGGATAGATGCCCAGTAAGTGGTCACTAGCATTAGTTTTATATCCTACTTGCTTGGAGGCAGGCACTACATTTTATTCAACTTTGAATTCCTCTAGGACACCCAGTCCAGTCACTCAGTGTACAATAGCTGAATGAATGCTTCTTGGGGAATATGGCTCTCAAGAAAAAACAAAACACTTACATGCTTACATAATTATACATCTATACTGGGACTGAGGCACTAGCCCTTCCTCCATCTGGACTCTCAGGGTGTCACCAGAAAGCCACCTGGGTGGGTCTTGGAAGCGTGTTCTCTCCCCTGCCGGCTGCCCTGCCCTACGGGAATCTCCCGCTGGGCTCCACGGAGTGAGGGTTAAAATAGGAAAGAGGCACAGCGTCATTTCTAAACTGCCACTGAAGACACTGTTCACTGTGGTGTTATATTCGCTGTGACCTAGCCCATATATTCTTGTTGTAATTTAGAACCAGACAGTTGCTATCTCAACATCAAATACTAAGCACTTACGTAACCCACCGAACTCTATGCATTTACTAAAATCAATGCCCAGTTAGAAACGTATTATCCAGGAGTTTAAAAATGTGGAGTATTTATTTCTATACTGGGTAGTGAAGAACTGGCTGTACCGAATGCGAGGGGTGGCCTGTGCCCTGGCCACAGAGGTGATCTCTAATGGGGGTGTCTGTTGGCTTGGGGCTCCAGGCACCTGACAGCCTAGTGGTGTGATCTGTGATGGGGGCTTTGGGACACCTGCTCCCTGAAGAAACCAGGAGACTGGAGAGTGAATATAAAATCTCTGGTCACCAAAGGCTCAGGCGAGTCCCCAGTTGGCATATGGTCACAGCTGTAGCTGGGAGGAGGTAACGCTGGCCGTGACTCCACAGGGAGGCACAAGTGGAGGTTTCGTGTTCAGACCCCTCCTGACTCTGCCCTGTTTCTCTTCCTTCGGCCGGTTCTCACTGTATCCTTTCACTGTGATAAAACCGTGAGCCTGAGCACAGCACTTTCCTGAGTTCTGTGAGTCATCCTCGTCAATTACTGAGCCGGAGGGTCGTGGTGGGGACCCTTCAATTTGCAGCTGGAATCTCAAGAGAGGGGAGTCTTGGGGCTCTGCCTTCTAACTGTACAGTTGGTTGAACGCCTCTGTACCTACCTTATAATTGTGTGGTGTGTATATATAAAATATCTGTGGTGTATATATAAAATAACTGTTCTTGCATATGTGGTATATATATATTCCTGTGAATATATATATATATATATATATATATATATATATACCCATGGTTTTTATTGGGGTCACCTCAGATCCTTTCAGGAAGTAGATGGGGTTGAATTTTATGTATTGTCTTCCAGTTATAAAATGAAGACACAATCTACTTTTGAGTTATTCAAAAATATGAAATACTTGTATGTGAACATGGGTTCCAAAGGCACACCGGGTCTCAAACAGCAGAGAAAGAGAGTGGGAAGGTGCCCCCAAAGTAGTTGCCCAAAGAGGGAACACTGGGGATGATGGCTGGTGTGACTCTGGCTGGAGAAGACTCCAGAAATTTTGCTTGGAGGCCCAGGGTTTTCATATTTTAAATAAAACCCTTTCCTCCTGATTATAAAAATATTATGTGCTTACTTTTAAAAACCGAAAATACAGAAAATTATAAAGAAGAGAAAAACACCCATAGTCCCATCATCCAGAAAGAACTAGTACTGTGTTTTCAGTCTAGGTCAGAGGTTTTCAACGGGTGAGCCACAAAAATGTGTAAAACATGCAGTACCTGGCTATTTAGTCAGGAGCACTGATCTCTTTCCCTTAGACTGTCAAATTAAAAGATGACAACAGCCAACTCAACAATAGCTGTCTGGTGTGAATGAATCAAAATTATACCTGTTTTTTAAGGCAGAGCAGCAAAAAATCTATTTTTTTGGTGTGCTGCAGAATTCTAGCAGTTAGCTTACGTGTGTCATGAGATGAAAATCGCTGGTCTAGTTCACCACAGCTTTTATACTAATGCCTCTTTTCTAAACAGGGCTGAGACTCTACTGTGGAAATATTTTCAATGGCCCACAACTGTTTAACACGGGGACAGGGAACCACGAGGCTGCAGTGCTCGCTGCTAAACCCTGTTAAACTGATCTTCAGGAGAACAGAGAATAAGGTACAATCTTCCTGGTAACCTAGATGCTCTTTTCATTACTGTGATCAAGCATTTTCCTTTTAATGGCTGTTAATATTCCATTTAATTCAGGTACCACAATTATTTAATAATTGCCTTTGATGGACATATTGTTTCTCTTTTTTTGTCTTTGGCTTTATTTTACATAATTCTACAATAAATGTTATTATTCATATGTTCTTTTCTATATTTTGAGTCATTGCTTTCAAGTAAGTTCTTAGATGTAAAATCTCTAGATCAAAGGTTCTACATTTTTCCAGGTTTCTGATACATGTTACCAACATGCATTCCAAGATGTTTGCATCTGAGTGAGGGGCATAGGTCTAAAACTTATACCACTGTCACTCAGTAATGAAAATAATTATGAAAGAGGTTTTTGTGCTTTTTATTTTTTTTATAAAGTTCAGGGAGCAATTTAACACATTGCTTAACAAGCAAACAATAAAAATTACAAGTTCTTGTTTGTGTATTTCTGCCCATACAACAGTGTTCTATGGCTCACAGGACAGCTGAAAAGCTGCTGTGGGACCTACTTACCCACACGCAATGGCACAGCCCGACGGGGCGTACGCACACGCCATCACCCACGTGCAGGGCATGGTGACCGCATGCTCCTGAAACACAGTGTGAACCGTTCATATAATAAGTGTGGCTTCACACACACACACACACACACACACACGCACACACACATCTCGACATTTAATTTTTAAAAAGTCACTGGCGATCTTACTGAACTATGTTATAGTTTCCAAGGGCAGTGGAGTAGGGTAACAATTAGCTATGACTGACAGGGAGACTCAGCCCCTTATAATCAATCAAACATTACGCCATATATTCTATTTTTAAAATATATATATTTTTATTGATTTCAGAGAGGAAGGGAGAGGAGAGAAGGATAGAAACATCAATGATGAGAGAGAATCATTGATTAGCTGCCTCCTGCATGCCCCACACTGGAGATCGAACCCACAACCCAGGCATGTGCCCTGACTGGGAATTGAACCGTGACCTCCTGGTTCATAGATGGATGTTCAACCACTGACCATGCTGCCCAGGCCGTTATATCATATATTCTAAAAGTTAAAATCCCGACTTGCAAAAAAAAAAAAATCCTTAAGGTTTTACTTTTTTCTTAATGTTATACCCCACTTGTTCTTCTGTGTTTTTATGGGGAAACATAGGCCCGAAACCTCCCGTCAAAATTCTGGTGTCACTCACAGTCCTGCAGCCTCTGAGGCTGGGAACCACCTACTGCCCGCCAGTGAGTGAGGCGAGGTGGCCGCTCTCTCAGCACAGGGCATCTAGGCCCCTTTCCCCACAAGTGATGGCTAGGTTCCCTGCCAGAAGCCACAAGTGGTGACTCTACAGCTCCCAGAAACCAGGTAGTGTGTGCGCTATGCCACGCTCAGGCGTAAACAGACACAACACAACCCCATGCACGCGCTGCTTGGGCATGCTGGGAGAGGCGGGGTCCTCCGTGGAGGCAGGGGAGGTACACTGCCCTTTGCAAACTGTTTATCATTCCCCAGGGGCCCAAACACTAGGGACTTGCTCTGCAGGCGGTTCTGGGGCCTCACTTGATCTGGTCAGGTAACAGCTGCCTACAAGGCATTTACTAACCACATTCAATAATGCAGAATATGGGCATCGCTCAAATTTGTCACAATGCGTCTCCTTTTTAATATCGTGAAAAGGAAGGTTTTCTTCTAAGTAAATGTTGGAGTCCATACTCAATACACAATGCTCCTTATTGTAAATGGCAACGCGATGCAGGCATGCAAGCACACCTACAGAGGTTCCAGTCTTTCTCTTTAGGACAGAGTCTGAATTTAGGTCTACTTTGCAGCTGTGCACGCTCAGGCCAGAGCTGCAGGGGGCTCATTCTCCACTGCGTCCTGGACAGAGCACGTGACTCCACGGCAGCCAGGGCTTCACCCACCGTTTGCTCATTCCACAGTGCCATGGAGTCTGGCCAAAGACAGAGGGGAGAGGGAGCTGGGTACCTCTTATCGTCACTCAGAGGAAGAATACATACAGCTGCCTGTGTGCGTGGGACCAGGGTGTCAGGCCTCGCCCCTTCCTGTTCCAGTGTGAGCTTATTCTGTGGGGTTCTGCAGGCTCCTCTGTGGGCAAGGGGTGTCAGCTCGAGGGAGGAATAAACGCTACCGTGGGCTGCTGAGCTGTCTTAACACAGATGGGCCCTGTGGGGTTTTCATCCAAAGACAGGCTCCCCGAGAAGCAGGAAACGGGGTCAGGGCTGGGGGGCTGGACCAGAGCACCTTTCAATGAGGCTGGGGTTCAGGGGCGCCCCAGTGCGCCGGGGACACCTTACCTTGTTAGTCGTGAAGGAATCCCACACGATCACCTTCCCGTCCTGGAGGGAAAAGAGAAAACTGTTCAGGAGTTGTCAACAAGTCCACCTCCTCTGCAACCATGCTGCAGCCCACACAGCATGGGCATGTGGGGAGTGACCACGATGCCATCTGTTTGTCATACAAACCCCCAGAGAGAAGTCCAGGGGCTCTGGTCCCTACAACACAGTTACCTGAGCACACCAGGCGTGGTGGCTCTGGGCGGCAGTGGCAGAGGGTGGCTGAGCTGACTTCCTTCAGTGCCTGGGTCCCCCGGGCATCCTCGGAGATGGTGAATCTGCAGTCTCCATAGCAGGCTTGATGTTTTTAATCACTCAAGCCATTTTGAGCCAAATCTGGCGAATGAGACGATGGGAGGGGCGGTAATGCCACTTAGGGGCACAAGCAGGGTCCGATCATCTAAAGCGACACGGCTGCTCGCCTTGCACGACTTCCATGCTCATGCTGAGTGTGGCTGAGGGGCCCGAAACAAGGTCAAGGTCGACAGTGTTGGGCCTTTCGAGATCCCTAAGTACACTGGTCTCCTGGTCTAACTTCTCTGGCGGCACTCCAAGCACGATGTGTGGGGAGGGTTAGGTAACAGTGCAGAGGACAGAGCTGGAGCTCGGGCCTGGAGCCCCTGCTTGCTGGGCTGGGGTGTGACTCAGTGCAGCCCCCCCCCCCCCGCGAAGCATTCACTCAGTGGCTTCCTCCACTGCACTGTAGGCCCGCCTGTCCTCGCTGCCCACCCGCTGAGCGCTCTGGAGAGAAAAAGGCGCCCACAAGGCTAAAATCAGCCTGATAGGATGAAATGTGGGCCCTCCGTGAGCAGCTTATACAACAGGGCCTGCCGAGATGATACCTCCACCCCAGCCCTGACCCACACGGTCAGGCTGACTCATCTCCTGCCTTTTAAGGGAGAAGGGCGGCTCTGAGTCACTCCAGGTCTGTTCCAGAGCCTTCCTGCTGCCCCAGCTCCTTGCCACATCCCAGCCACTCTCTCTGCAGCAGACACGGGTGGATGGAGCCTGTCAGCCCTCCGCCCCTGCCTCCCTCTCTAATCAGAGTGTACATGCCTGACAAAAAATCCAACATATATTATCCTTTCAAGGCTAAAACAGTCTAAAAGGCTGGGTGGCAACATGTACATCTCAATAACCACAAGTGAGCATTTGAAAAAACAATGTCCAGAAAGAACTGCTCTAAAATAAAAACAATGGTTGTGACAGGGTGGTGGCAGCAAAACCCTTTCTGTGTTCTCTTTTCCGGTGCTTCTTACATGTGGTGAAGTACGAGCGCTAATGGACATAAAAAAAGCAAGCGCTATGTGTCATACCAGACTGGTAGCTAATACAGGAGATTAATGACACGGGTCCTGTCAAAACAACCCTGATGTGGATGTTGGAGCTGAGGATCATATAGGATATATACAGTGTTTATACTTAAAAGGGTTATTAAAAACAACAACAAGTTGTCCTTTAAAAAAGCTGGGATAAAGGCAAGGGTGAAAGGAAGCCCAAACTGGCTATGAAAATATGTGACTTCAGTTTACAGTTGTATGTTCAATGGATGTAACATCACAATAAACCTAAAAAGTATTAAGCAGTGGCTGCCAGGCTCCAAGAATCCCCAGTCATGCTGGTCTCACGCAGCTCGATGGGCCTGTCCCTCATTATATCAGGTTGGTCTGTGTGAGGCCAGGTCAGAGAGGCCCTGGGCGTGGAGGCATGGCTTCTGCTTCCCTCTCCCTCTCTTGGATCATGTGCTCCGGAAGCGCCCAGCCCCCATGTCCTGAGCAGCCTTGAGGCAGGTCCCCAGGGAGCGGAACTAAGACCTCCAGCCCAGCCACGTGAGTGAGCCACCTCAGAGTGAGCCTCGGCCTCCTCGCCGCCTGCAGCCCACCAGCGTCCAGCCCGCACGCTCCTGGGAGACCCGAGCCGCCACCCAGCCAAGCTGCCCAGGTTCCTGACTCTCAGAAAGCCACGCGAGATGAGTTCAGAGAACCAAGATGGCGGCATAGGTTAACGCTGGAGTTTGCTGCTTTGAACAACTACTTCAAAAGTGAAACCAAAAAACGGAAGGGACATCACCCAGAACCACAGGAACGCCGGCTGAGTGGAAGTCCTACAACTAGGAGGAAAGAGAAACACATACGGACACTCGGAGGAGGCGCAGTGCTGAAGTCAAATTCTGAGGTGCGGAGTGCGCGGAGCGGGCTGGCGGCGGAGGGCGCGGTTGGCGTTCTCAATCGGGAGGGAGTCGCAGACTCTGAGCTCCAGATCCGGGCGAGTCTTAAGGGACCCAGACCCAAACGGGAGCAGCGGGACTGTCTGGCTTCGGTCAGAGCGAGTGCAGCTTTCTCTCTGAGCTTTGCAGCGGGTGCTGGGACTCAGAGAGGCAGAGCCCCTGGGGACAGGACTGAGAGCCGCCATAACTGCTCTCTCCGGCCCACCCTGTTGATCCCGTTCGACCCACCCCGCCCAAGCCCTGCACACAGGCATTTGCCGGATAGCCTCAGGCAAAGGCTAGATTAGCACCTCCCTAGAGGACAGAAGTTCTCTCACTGCTGACACAGCTGATTCTCATAGCCACTTGGCCTGGAGGTCAAACCCTCCCTGGAATTAGCTACAACAATCAAGATTTAACTATAAGACTTCGAACAAAGACCACTAGGGGGTGCACCAAGGAAGCATAACAAAATTCGGAGACAAAGAAACAGGACAAAATTGTCAATGGAAGATATAGAGTTCAGAACCACACTTTTAAGGTCTCTCAAGAACTGTTTAGAAGCCGCCGATAAACTTAATGAGATCTACAAGAAAACTAATGAGACCCTCGATCTTATATTGGGGAACCAACTAGAAATTAAGCATACACGGACTGAAATAACGAATATTATACAGACTCCCGACAGCAGACCAGAGGAGCGCAAGAATCAAGTCAATGATTTGAAATGCGAGGAAGCAAAAAACACCCAACCGGAAAAGCAAAATGAAAAAAGAATCCAAAAATGCGAGGATAGTGTAAGGAGCCTCTGGGACAGCTTCAAGCGTACCAACATCAGAATTATAGGGGTGCCAGAAGATGAGAGAGAGCAAGATATTGAAAACCTATTTGAAGAAATAATGACAGAAAACTTCCCCCACCTGGTGAAAGAAATGGACTTACAGGTCCAAGAAGCGTGGAGAACCCCAAACAAAAGGAATCCAAAGAGGACCACACCAAGACACACCATAATTAAAATGCCAAGAGCAAAAGATAAAGAGAGAATCTTAAAAACAGCAAGAGAAAGAAACTCAGTTACCTACAAGGGAATACCCATACGACTGTCAGCTGATTTCTCAACAGAAACTTTGCAGGCCAGAAGGGAGTGGCAAGAAATATTCAAAGTGATGAATACCAAGAACCTAAAACCAAGATTACTTTATCCAGCAAAGCTATCATTCAGAATTGAAGGTCAGATAAAGAGCTTCACAGATAAGGAAAAGCTAAAGGAGTTCATCACCACCAAACCCGGATTATATGAAATGCTGAAAGGTATCCTTTAAGAAGAGGAAGAAGAAGAAAAAGGTAAAGATACAAATTATGAACAACAAATATGCATCTATCAACAAGTGAATCTAAGAATCAAGTGAATAAATAATCTGATGAACAGAATGAACTGTTGATTATAATAGAATCAGGGACATAGAAAGGGAATGGACTGACTATTCCTGGGGGGGAAAGGGGTGTGGGAGATGCGGGAAGAGACTGGACAAAAATCGTGCACCTATGGATGAGGACAGTGGGTGGGGAGTGAGGGTGGAGGGTGGGGCGGGAACTGGGAGGAGGGGAGTTATGGGGGGAAAAAAAAGAGGAACAAATGTAATAATCTGAACAATAAAGATTTAATTAAAAAAAAAAAAAAAGAAAGCCACGCGAGAGAATAAACACTTGTTGTTTGCACTTGCTAACTTTTGGGGTAATCTGTCATGCGGCAATAGATAACTAATATAAGACGCAAAATAAACTATGTCAGCTATACAAAATGAATGAAAAATTAGGCTTCACAAAATATATATATCTTTTTTTTTTTTCATCCTCATCACCAGATAGGGGTGGGTTCTCAGAGCCCTTATCCTGGAGAACTGTTTTTATTTTTTTATTTTTATTGTTTAAAGTATTCCATATGTCTCCCTTTTCCCCAATTGGACCCCTTCCCCCCCCCGCCAGCCGTTCCCACCCCCCAGGACAAGCTCCACTGCCCCAGTGTCTGTGTCCACTGGTTATGCTCATATGCATGCATACAAGTCCTTTGGTTGATCTCTTATCCCAGCCTCTCCCCCTCCCCCCTGCCTTCCGGAGAACTGTTTTTAAATAGTCTTTACAAACTATATACCTTAAATGTGTTCTTTAAGGCATAAAATTGCTCAACAAGCCATGGTGGCCCCTCAACCACGCGGCCCTCAATCTGGGAAAACCCACTGTTTTACAGTTGGTTTCCCTCACAAATAAGACGGTGAGGTATGCTCAGGAAGAAACAGTTTTAAGTGGAGAGTCAAACAGAGTTTGCAACGTTTCGGCAGGACCAATTCCAAATCTCCCCAAATTAGCGCGGCTCCGCATAAAAGAACTCTCAGCCATGCCACAGGCCACACTCGCGTCCTCTGGCCAACACGCAGAGGCGGAGAGCCCAGAAAGGATGTTGAGAAGGACCGCTCTCCCCCTCCGCCATGAAATCAGAAAGCCGCTCACCAGCACACAACGGGCGCCACGTACCTGCGAGGAGCTCACGATCCTCCGCTTGTCTTTGCACCAGTCCATGCAGAGCACTTTGTTCCCGTGGCCTTTGAGGGTCCTCCTGGTCTTCATGACAAACTGCCCCAGCGCCTCCACCCGCTCCGCCACCTGATGCACTAGGAGGACAAGGCCACAGTCAGCCTGCTGCCGAGGCCAGGCTCTGAGCCAGACGCCGGCTCAGGGAAGACACCGGGCTTTCGCTCGGCCCCGGCTGGACTCTCCTGGACTCTGCCATGCCCTCGCCTGCTCTCTCCTTTAGGCTTAGAAGAGGGCAGAGACAACAGTGTTGTTCTCTCTCTCTGTGTGTTTTTCAAGCCACTGCCACACGTGCACGTTGAGGGACTAAGGACAAGACCACCTGGGTCTGTAAGGCACTGCACGGAACTCTGCAGTCGAAGGGCCACAGCTCTGCAGGCGGGGCAGGTGGCAGCAGGGTGCGATTGCTATCCCCATGTCACAGGTGAGGAGACTGAGGCGCACAGGGGTCACTTGGCTAATACAAGTTCATACGACTCACGGGGAGGGAAGCTGCGGCTTCTGGTTCTTTTATCTACCACTTTCTCGTCACAAGGAAAAGTGACTTTACAAAAACGACCCGGGCAGGTGCCGTGGTGTGTGCTCACGCTGCTCTGTGGCAGGCCCTGCGACTCCTAACTGACCCCTGTGCCTCGTGCGGGCCTGGGACACAGCAGGCGACCCACCCACATGCTGCAGGAACGATGGGCCGAGCAAACCACTTTGGGTTCACCGGAAACTCCGTGTCGGCAGAGATCAAGGCCATGTTCTAGAAGTCTGAACACAGCACCTAGGGGAGGTGCCTATACCAGGAAGGAGCTCCAAAAACCAGACTTTCAGGGGCCGGGCCACAGCCTCTCTCCTGGGGCTCAGGGAGAGCTCCGAAGGGCTTATCCAGATGCTGCCACTGCCGAGTCTCAGAGGGAGACCAGTCCCCTCGGAGCAGAAAGGGTCGCAGAGGCCGTCCCGTCCACCCCCACATCGTGCAGGTGGGGAAACCCAGGCGAGGGATCCTGTGGCTCCTCCTGCTCACGGAGCCCCATTCGCTTTCTGGTAGAGGCTAAGTCCAAGCCTCCTTCCTTTAAACCTCTCTGCTGGGGCGTCTTCAGCCAGGAGCTGCTGCGGTGCCCACCAGCTTCCTTCGGAAGTCCGGGCTGAGAGGGGCTGACCGCCTCCTAGGGAAACCCTTCCTTCCTGCTTCCCGCCCTCCCTTTCCTCTAAACACGTCAGTCAGCGTGTTTTCCTAAAGAGAAGGAGCTCTGACATAACCAGTGTAATCACAATCACCAAAGTCAGAAAACGAACACTGAAACAATTCCACGCCTAACCCACAGGCCTCACCGAGAGGCCCGCTAGCGTCCCACACCGCTTTAGAGCAGGCAAGTCAAGCTTGTGGACCGCAGGCCGCATGTTGCGGCCCACAATGAATATTTCTGTGGCTTAGCCAGTGTAACGGTGTGTAAGAAAACATTAATTTTATCATTGCTCTTATTCTATTTTATACTATACTTTTCTAAATAAACCTACGTTTCTATGAAAATTGAAGCTTGTGGTTTTTTTTGCAGCCCGCCGAAACCTAAACCTTGTTTATTTGGCCCGTGTTAGCCTTCGAGCTTGACATGTTTGCTGTAGAGCAACGGAAACCCCAAGATCCTGGGCTGCATTCAGTTTTCACATTTCTCTCAGGCCCAGTCCTTCTGTTCCCCAGTCTGGGCTTGCCCGCTGCTTCCCGGGACCAGGTCCGGGTGATGCACGTCTGGCAGGAACACGCCAGCTGAGCTGAGCTCCTGCCCGTGTGACCCACCAGGACACACCTGCTGTGAGCGCTTGGTTGAGGTGGCATCTTCCAGGTTTCTCCACTGCAGTTACCATTTTGCCTCCGGTAATGAAAAAGCACCCTGTGGGGATGCACGTTGAGACTACATGCATCTCCTTACTCCTCAAACTGAATGCCTGGTTTTAACATCCACCCATGAATGACTCTTGCCTGAGCTGGTGATTGGGGAGAGTTGGCCTACGTGATTTTTCTAACTCCATCATCCCTTCTGCATTTTCAAGCTGGCTTTCTCGTGCAGAGGGAGCCTTCCCTCCGCCCCAACTTGTTTATTCATGCATTTATCCTAGTGTGGGCTCATGGGTTCTTACCGTACTCAAGAGGCTGTAAGTCCTGTACTACTATTATTTATTGAATAAATAAGTAAAAACAACTGGAAGTGAGTTGAATATAGTCCCTGATTTGCTCAGGTGGAACCGCATCGAGCTGCTCTCGTGACCTTGTGTGCGCCCCCAGCATTCTCTGAGCACCTCTCTGGGTGGGCTCGTGTTCTTTCCCTAACCCGGCCCTGGAATCAGCCACTTCTCCAAAAAATCTAGGTTTTGCTTAGTTGCCCCGTTCCTTTGGAATGAAAAAGCACATGTGAACAGGTTAAAAAGTCTTTGTGAAATACCGAATGGTCAAAAATACTTGAACTATAAAGTGCTACATGGTGTACGATGATGATGCCATCACTTCCGCTAAAACACCGCATTCTTTACTGCCACAAACAGCACGTGGGTCTCTTACAGACACAGTCTTCACAAAGACATGCTGAATGGAGTTAAAACAGACTGAATTTTCTGAATTCTTATAGGCCTGTACACAAGCCTAAAGCAGCTCAGAGCTGTGACCATATTCAACTTAGTATTTTACTTTGAAACGTCACTCGATATTATTACTGCTTCCCCCAGTTCAGCATTATTCAGCATTAGGACAACCACAGTTATTTAATCTCCTTAAAAGAAAAAAAAAAAAAAAGAAAAAAAAAGATGATTCACCAACCAAAATAGGGCCCTCCTTACATAGTGAGAACCTGAACACATCTCAACTGCTAATTATTTTACTCACCGCATTTTCCTTCCCACATACAAATCCCCTACCACTCTATCCTGTTTCTGTCAAACCTCACATCTGTTGAATTAAAGAGTTAAAACAAATGTAATAGTAAAACATTTTAAAAACAACTGGTCCCTAGCGGTTTGGCTCAGTGGATAGAGCGTCAGCCTGTGGACTGAAAGGTCCCAGGTTCAATTCAGGACAAGGGCACATGCCGGGGTTATGTGCTTGATCCCCAGTAGGAGGCGTGCAGATGGCAGCCGATCAATGATTCCTCTTATCATTGATGTTTCTGTCTCTCTCTCCCTCTCCCTTCCTCTCTGAAATCAATAAAAAATACATTAAATAAATAAAAACAACTGGAAGTGAGTTGAATATGTTCTATAAATAATTTGTGGGAGCTTGTTCAGAGCAGCTGTGCTTTCTCCTTTGCCCCTTCTAGCCTGTACCCATACCCTGCCCCAGACCTTCCCCACACTACTGTCTGTGACCATGGGTTATGCATATATGCATACAAGTTCCTTGGTTAATCTCTTATCACCCACCCACCCACCCCCATCTTCCCTCTGAGATTCAACAGTCTGTATCATGCTTCTATGTCTCTGGATCCACTCTGTTCATCAGTTTATTGTGTTACTTAGATTCCACATATGAGTGAGATCATGTGATACTTGTCTTTCTCTGACTGGCTTATTTCACTTATCATGATACTCTCTGGGTCCCTCCATGCTGTCTCAAAGGGTAAGAGATCCTTTTTTTTTTTTTTTTTTTTTTTTTACTGCTGTGTAGTATTCCTTTTTGTAAATGTACCACAGCTTTTTTATCCACTCATCTACTGATGGACACTTGGGCTGTTTCCAGAGCTTAGCTATTGTTAAGTTGTGCTGCTATGAACATAGGGGTGCATACATTCTTTCTGATTGGTATTTCGGGTTTCTTAGGATATATTTCTGGAAGTGGGATCACAGGGTCAAAAGGCAGTTCCATATTTAATTTTTTGAGAAAACTCTCAAATCTTCTTCACCTCTCATCCCTTTGACCTTCAGACAGCATCATTCTGTTGGGCCCTCATCCCCATGTCAGACCCTCAGCCAACATTATATACAGGAAGTGGCTTATGTGGGTGGTCAGGGGGAAGCCAGCCTATATCAAACTCCATAGCCTGAGGCCTCATGCCTCTATCCCTGCCTTTCCCGTTATTCCTCCAGCGCTTCCGACCCTGGATGTATCTCCTTGTCCCTTCTGCTTGCCTTCTACCATTGGTTAGTGCTTCCTTGCTCTAGTCTAAGGCATTTTAGAGTCATGAGGTTACAGCTTGTAATAGTTTCCCCCATTGCTGTTGTACTCATTTCTATATAGTGGCTTAAAGCTACATAACTTTATTCTGTTGCATTTCTGGAGGTCAGAAGTCTAAAATGGGCCAGCAGGGCTGCATTCCTTCTGAGGCTGTAGGGGAGAATCCACCCCATGCCTTTTCCATCTGCATTCGTTGGCTTGTGGCCCACATCACTCCAACCTTGTTTCTGTCATCACATCTCCTTCTTTGACTCTGATCCCCCTCTTTTAAGGACCCTTGTGATTACAGTGGGCCCACCTGTATAATCTAACATAATCTCATCTCAAGATCCTTAACTTACTCATGTCTGCAAAGTTCCTTTTGCCATGTAAGGTCACATATTCACAGGGTCCAGGGATTAAAATGCAGATGTCTTTGGAGGGCCTATCACACAGCTCTTAGAGGGACCCATCTGCTTAAACCTTCCTGTCTTCACCCACTAAAAGTTTTCTTCTCCCAACAATCCCCTTCCTCCCTCCCTCCCTCCCTCCCTATTCTCACCCAAGGATATGTTTATTGATTTGAGAGACAGAGAGAAACATCCGTTGCCTCCCATACATGGCCCCACCAAGGATCGAACCTACACTTAGGTATGTGCCCTGACCAGTAATCGAACCCAAAGCCTTTGGGTTTACAGGACAATACTCCAACCAGCTGAGCCACCCAGCCAGGGCCAACCCCATTACTTTCTTTATGAGGCTGGAATCAGGAAGGGTTAGGGGATTTCCTTAAGGTTATGCAGCTACTCTAAGGAAGGATGGGGAGTAGGCACCAGGGTTCAGGCTCCTAGTCCAGCTCTCCTCACCATGCCAGGCCATCTCTCAGAAAGTTGCGATTTACATTAAAAAGGAAAACAAAGTAAATTTGTGTGTGTGTGTGTGTGTATGAAAAGTCAACATTGTGGGTTGGGGGAGGGGAGCAAGTTGCAGAACAGTGTATATAACATGAGCTCTTTAGTTTAATCAACAGATGCTTGTATGTGCATTAACGTTGTGGCAGAGCTCACAAGAAACTTACCTCTAGAGAGGGGCCCCGGGAGTGGGGAAGTAGAGATACTTTTCACTTTAAACCAGTGGTTTTCAACCTTGGCTGCACATTAGAATCACCTGGGAATCCTTTTAAAATCCTGATTTCTGGGCCTCATCCTCTGGAAATTCTGTTTCTTTGTTATGGGGTGGGTTCCCTGTGGAAAAGCCGAATCTTGACTATCTCTCTGCCTTAAGGCAATTTACAAATTCACAGAAGAGGCTGAAAAATATCCCAGCAGGCAGCCTGTACCAGAGTAAGAGAGTTTCTGGAGAACCCCTCTGCACCGAGCACAAAGGTTCAGCAAAAAAGCTGAAGTGAGGCTGGGCTGGAGCTCTGACTGCCTGCGCTGGGATCCTGACCCCACCACTTTTTAGTTGGGGTCTTTCTTTGCAAGTCCTGTCATCTTTGTGTGACTCGGTTTCCTTATCTGAAAAATGGAGGCATCAGACCTACCTCAGGGAACACCACGCTCACAGCATCATCGCTATCATCTGCAGAGTGTACAAAATTGCAAAAAGAAACGGGAAGACTCTGCCCCATGCCTTCCAATATCCATGCCTTGCTTCTCCCCTGATAACGGAAACCCAGCTGTTTGAGGATGGCAACGTGCCCAGTTCAGTGCTCGCTTTCCCAGCCTCCCTTGTAGAAGCCATGTGACCTAGTTCTGGCCAATGATGCACAAGCAAAAATCTGTGGGGAAGAAAGAAAATTTCGGGGGAAGCTTTTGCTAACTTGAAAAAGGAGAAACAGAGGCTGGTAACCAGATTCCCCCTCCTCTCTGTCCTGGATACAGGGGTGATGTCTGGAGCTGTGGCAGCGATATTATAGTCATGGGGCAAATGCCAGTGCTCTGAGGGTGGTGAAGAGAGACAGGAGCGTGGATGGCACCTTGGGCAGCTGAACCAAAGCTGGTGACTGCCTACCCTTGTTCTTGTTATGTAAGGAAAATAACTACCAAGTTGCTTAACTACTTTATTAGGGGTTTATGGTTCATGGTAGCTGCATATAAATGACATAGGGGCTTCGTGTAACTCCTCTTTAAAGAGGCCCCTACCAAAGCATAGCACACTCTAGATTCAGGTCACCTGCTTCTGTCAAGTAACTTTCAAAGAAAGGAATCAGGTGCTATAGGGCCCAGCATGGACCCCATCTTTCTTTCCCACCGAATTTAAAGGGGATGGTACCAAATGCAGATGGCAGGAGCACCATGTGCAGGTGTGCCTGAGGGCACCAAGGGGAGGGCTTGCTCAGCAAAGGGGAGCTGCCACCTTCAGAGCTGAAAAGTCAGAAGAGGCCACTTTCCCAAGGTTGGCCCTGAGCCCAAGCTCTGCTGAGGGCCAACCATATGACACGGTAAAGAGAAGCTGACCCAGCCCACCTTTTTCCTAATTGCTCTCGCAAATAAAATCACAGAGCCGGTCTAAAGGATGGCAGTGGTCAGTAAGGTAAGTTTAAGGCTGCTATTGTCTTGGATGCCAATCAAACCCCATCCAGCCAAAGCTTTTAAAACAGCCACAAATGAACTCAACGGTAAGCTCCCCCACTTCCCTTCCCCCATCCGGCTCTCCACCCCCAAGGGCACGGGGCAGATGGGAAACATGAGCTTTTACATCAGAGTCTGGTTCCGTGTAAAAGCAAAACTGAGAAGACACAACAGTGGTGGAGGAGGTCAAAGAATTAAAAATCAAAACAGTTCACCCTAGGCCGCGCCCCCGCGGGCTGACGCGCTCGCACGGCTGCCTACACCCCCCACCCGCTCCGCCGGGGAAGGGCGCGAGTGCGGTCAGTTTGCACCTTCCAGGCAGGTGACGAGGGTGACCGGTCCCGCGATCCTTCCTGGGGAGGCCGGCGGCCAGGGGCTGCTACCCCAGGCGCCCGGCCCGGAGGCGGGCGGGGCTCTGCCAGGTGCCGGGAGCCTCCAGGGGCCGCCGACTCGGCCCGCACTCCCACGCGCCCGGGGCGCACGGCCACTCCCCGCCTTCGCCGGGCGCGGGGACACGCGGGGCCCGCATCCCGCTCCGGGCCCGGCCGCCCGCACCCTCCTCCTCGCTCCCTCCGCCCGCCTCCCGCGCAGCCCCCGCCCGGCCCGCACTCACGCTCCACGTCGTGCAGCTTGGCCCGCTCCTCCTCCAGTTTGCCCTTGAGGCTCTCGGCCTCGCTCTTCAGCGACGCCAGCGTCTCGTTCTCGTGCAGCCCGTCCGTGGCCATCTTCGCGCGGGGACGCGGCGGGGAGGGAAGCGGAGAGCCAGGGTGCGGGTGAGCAGTGAGGAGGCCGAGCCCCGGGCGCAGCTCCAGCCGCGTCTCCCGCGCGGCCCCGCCCTCCGGCGCTGACGCCGGCGGCTGCGAGCTGGGCTGCGGCGGCCGACCCCTCCCGCCGGCCTCGCGGGTGGGCACGGAGCCCCCTCCGCGCCCCCGACCCCGCCCGCACCTGCTGCGCCCGGCGCAGAGCCCCGGGCAAGGCCTCGGGTAGCGAGGCTGCGCACTCCGAGCGGGGGAAGCAGGAGTATGGTGCCCATTTTCCCGGTGGGAAAACCGAGATTCGGGGAAGACACGCGACTGGGTGGAGGGTGGAGGACGCGCAGGGAGTGAGGGCCACGCTGGGATTCCAAGGCCGGACGCCCGGCTCCTGGGAGTCTGCGGAACTCCCGGCGACACAGCCTCCTCCCCGCCCGCCTCCCTCCCGCTTCCCCGCACAGATCTCCCCGCCCGGACGGGACGGGAGGGCTCTTCCTGCAGAGACGGGAGAGGAGAGGGCGCCGCAGATGCCCGGCCTGATCCCGGGTAGCTCTGCTGCTGCCCACACAGAGAACCGGAAACTTCCCTCGTTTGTTGACTGCAATATACGCAAATAAAACGAGTTCTGGCTCCCGAGAAGCTCGGGGGTCTTAGCAGGCCGGCTGCTGGTTGTGCTATTGCTTTCTTCGCTGGGGAATTAGTCCCGGGGGAGGGAGGGGCCATGGCACACGGGGCCCAGACGCGGCCTTCTGAGCTCCTGGCCAGGGATCTCACAGTCACTTCGGAGGCAGCTTCCTCCACTTTGCAGTGCGGGGTCGCTCCCAAGGACGCAGATTTATGACACTCAAGCATCCCCCCTTCCAGCCCCCCACAGTGCCAGGCACTGTCCCAAGTGCTCCACGTTAGTAACTCACCACAGTCACCCTGAATGGGTACTATCGTCATTCCATTTTACAGATGAGGAAACTGAGGCACAGAAAGGTTAAATGATTTGTGGGTTCACACTCCCAGAAAGGGAAAGGCAAGATTTGGGCCCAGGCAGCCTGGCTCCATGCAGTTACCGCTTCAGGGCCAATGTGGAGGACCCGCCCAGCCTCCTTCCTCTTCCCCTCTCCAGGCCCCTGCCAGTGTGTGTTGTGTACAGACTGGAGGCAGATCACAGTTACACATTCTAAAGGGAAACATCGCCTCTTTGTAGCCCCTCCCTTCCTGAGGAATCCAGCCTGGACTTGCTAGCCTGAGCCCTCTCTAAGAAAAGTTGGGGGTAATCTATATTAATATTCTATAATAATAAAAGCATAATATGCTAATTAGACCAGACAGCCTTCTGGATGAAGTGGCAGCCATGGCAGGCAAGGGCCGAGGCAGAGGCGGTTTAGGGGAGATCAGGCAGGCAGGCAAGCAGTTAGGGGTGATCAGGCAGGCAAGCAGAGTAGTTAGGGGCAATCAGGCAGGCAGGCAGGCAAGCGGTTAGGGATGATCAGGCAGGCGAGCAGTTAGGAGCCAGCGGTCCCGGATTGCAAGAGGGGTCTCCAACTGCTGTTTAGGTCCCTGTGGGATCGGGCCTAAACTGGCAGTCAGACATCCCCTGAGGGATTCCAGATTGTGAGAGTGTGCAGGCCGAGCTGAGGGATGCCCTCCCCCACCCCCCGTGCACAAATTCGTGCACCAGGCCTCTAGTCTATAATAAATATAGGTGCTCAGTTAATGTTAGTTTGTTAAATGGATGTGTGGCAGAATATATAAATATATAAAGTGTAATTAAGTAAAATATCAAGTGTATACGATGTTTAAATGTTTTAGATACATTCACCTATTTATAGATCTGTTTCAAGAGTTTGCAGAGCAAAGGTTAAGAGCATGGGTTCTATCTAGGTCAGACTACCCAGGGGCCAATCCTGGCTGTGTGACCATGGGCGATTTATTTAATTTTTCTGTGTTTCAGGCTCATCTGTGAGTGGGGGTGACACCCTCCTCATGGGGTCCTCGTGAGTTTGACATGCTTGAGCATTCTGAGCAATGTGTGGCACACAGTACTTGCTTGCTATTATTATTACTTTTTAAATGAACTTTTTTTTTATTGTCTGAAGTTTTACATATGTCTCCTTTTCCCCCAATTGACCCCCTCCCCTATCCCTTCTCAGCCCAGGCAAGCCCCCACCGCCCCAGTGTCTGTGTCCATTGGTTATGCTAATATGCATGCATATAAGTCCTTTGGTTGCTCTCTAACCACGCCCCCCCACCCCCTACCATTTGTCTCTAGATCGATCTATTCTTGTTCATCAAATTATGTTGATCATTACATCCCACATATGAGTGAGATCATGTGATATTTATCTTTCTCCGACTGGCTTATTTCGCTTGCTTGCTTGCTATTATTGTTAAGGCTGCCTGTACACTGGAACAATTCATGTGAAGTAATTTAAATGAGGAGACACTAGTTCCTGGACACTTCTCACAAGGGTCACCTCAGAAGGTCTGGGAAAGCAGCATCCTCCCCTCCCCCTCTCCGGCTGGCACCCCCTGGCCCTGGTGGGATGTGTGCGTTTGTCCGTCTGTGAAGACCTGGGAGGAGTTGTGCTTCACGCTGGTGTGCGACCGCCTCTGGAGGCTCTCTGTATGAGAGAAATCCCAGCCCTCTTCCGGTCTGGAAAGCCTACCAGCCTTTTACTAGTAATAGTTGGAAAGTGCTTTCCTGTACGTTGGCTTTAGCTGCTTCTTTACAAAGTGGAACAGCTGGAGATCTGCTACATTTCAACAGTGGTGGAGACACAGGGTTGCCCCTGTTCATGAAAAGGGCCCACTGGGGGCTGTCCACACACTCCCAAACACTCGGATAAAAGGTAGCCGTCAGTCGCCACTGTGGAGAACAGTATGGAGTTTCCTCAAAAAACTAAAAATGGAACTCCCATTGGACCCAGTGATCCCACTTCTAGGAATATATCCCAAGAAATCAGAAACACCAATCAATCACAAAGGATATATGTACCCCTATATTCATAGCAGCACAATTCACCATAGCTAAGATCTGGAAACAGCCTAAGTGCCCATCAGCAGATGAGTGGATTAGAAAACTGTAGTACATCTACACAATGGAATACTACGCCGCTATAAAAAAGAAGGAACTTTTACCATTTGCAACAGCATGGATGTAACTGGAGAGCATTATGCTAAGCGAGATAAGCCAGTCAGAGAAAGATGAATAGCACATGATCTCACTCATTTATGGAACATAATGAACAACATAAACTGATAAACAAAAACAGAGACAGAGAATCATCGATCAGAATGTCAAACCTCAGAGGGAAGGTAGGGGAGGGTGGGGGTAAGGGGGAGAGATCAACCAAAGGACTTGTATGCATGCATATAAGCCTAACCAATGGACACAGACACCAGGGGGTGAGGGCATGAGTGTGTGTGTGTGTTTGGGGGGGGGGGTAATGAAGGGATAAGGACACATATGTAATACCTTAATCAATAAAGAAATTAAAAGTAAAAAAAAAAATAAAAGGTAGCTGTCATCATCTGGATGTCTCCTCAGCCAAAGGAGGCTGCCTGACTGTCTGGGAACCCCAAGTGCTTGTGATGACGAGAGCTGGTACAGCCCCTGCAGACTATCTCCAGGCAGGGCCTCTGAGCTGGGAAGAACCTATGAGGCCACAGATTACTTGACTGCTGGGATTTTGGGCTCCTTCTGTCCACAGAGAAAGTTGTTTTAAAAACAGAAGAGCTAGCCCTAGCTGGTTTGGCTCAGTGGATAGAATGGCAGTCTGTGGACTGGAGAGTCCCAGGTTCGATTCCAGTCAAGGGCACATTCCTGGGTTGTGGGCCGACCCCCAATAGAGAGAATGCAGGAGGTTGTGGTCAATTCTCTCTCATCGCTGATGTTTCTATCGCTCTTTCCCTCTCCCTTCCCCTCTGAAATCAATAAAAATATACATTTTTAAAACTAAAAAATAAATAACAGAAGAGCTAGATTAATAAATAGCACTGTACCAGGGTGGGAGCGCGGCCACCAGAAAGCAGGCTTATTTTCAGAATTGAATGTCCTCAGTTTGACAATTTGCAGAGCCAAGTCTAGAACATAATGTGCTGCAGGTAGGAGCCCATTGCCCTGGGCCTGAACTCTGACATCAGGATTACTAAACTGCACCCAGCCTGTGTGCCCTGCTGTGTGCCTTCCTGTGTGCCATTTACTTTATGGGAATAATTTTTTAAAGCACTGTCAGGGGTTACAATACAAGCAGGAGGATGAATACTGCCATTTCCTCTTTAGTTAGATAAAATGTAAAAGTCACCTTTCTTCTCTTTTTGATAAAAGGTTTCTTAAATTCTATATATATAAAAGCCTAATATGCTAAGTGTCCAACCGATTGGTCAACCACTCAACCAGTTGCTATGACGTACACTGATCACCAGGGGGCAGACACTCCAACTGGTAGGTTAGCTTGCTGCTGGGGTCTGGCCAATCGGGACTGGGCAAGATGGTCTGGACACGCCCTGAAGCCAACCTCCCTTGGTCCCTCCCCGGCCTCTAAAATATTTCTTCTAATTTCCTTTCAATGTACACAGATTCGTGCACTGGGCCTCTAGTGTGTTAATAATTGAAGATTTCCTGTTGGCTTTGGGGAAAGAGTGCTTTACCACTTTTGACCAGGTGGGGGCTCTGCTGGGCTCAGCCAGGCTATAGAGCAGAGCTTTGCAAATCCTCTGAGACAGGTCTAATTCCTAGGGCTTCAGTCATGCTCTGGACTTTTTTTTCTTTTTTTTTTCCTGCAAGATCTGAATACAGATCTTCCATAATTAAAGATCTGAATACAAGACCTGTGCATAGCCACCTCTGGTGAGGATTGATTTTGTGTACTTTGGGGAAAATGCCAGGATTTATGTTTAGTCTCCAGCCCTCGCTGAAGGCTTGGGTTTTAGGTCCAAGGAGCACTTTTCCTTCAGCTTAACTGTGCTCATTACTGCGGCCCTGTGTGGTTCAGTCTCAGCAGAGCTGTTCCCAGGGGCAGAGGGCACAGGGCCTTTGGAAAGGTGCTCCCAAGCTGTTGATTTGCCAGTGTCCCTTTTAGCTTGGCTGCTTGCCAAGA